GCCAATGACCCCCCCCCCCCCCCCCACTCACGACTCCGCTTTGCTCGCGACGCGTGATCGTCTGGCTTTGACCACCTGAGCCGTGCCACTGCAGGCTGACGTCCTCGATCTGCATCTTGATCGACATAAGCCGTACGGGAAGAAGAAGAAGGAGGAGGAGAAGAAAAGCGACTCCGGATTGTTTACCCAGGAAAGCCTCACTGGGAGGGTTTGGGTTTTTTTCCTCTCTCTCTCTCAGGAGGATCCTGAGAAAATTGTCCGCGGTAGCGGGGCTGATGATCGCCGCCGCCGCTGCTGCCGCTACCACTGCTGCGGTGATCCCAATTGGGAAGACAAAGGCGCTCGGGCGTGTATGCGGTTAGCGCTACGCTGCGCTCCAACAAACCTGGCCAACCCCGAGTTCGATTCCCGCTCGCGGACACCAACACCGGTGACGATTATCTCAAACCGGTTCTGGGCCTCCCCCCCCCTAGGTCGACTCAGCCTCAAATGAGTGCCTGGTGCGGTGTGTGAAGTAAAAAAAAACATCGCCACTGGGGGAGACAAAGGCGATCGGGCGTGGTGTTGGCCAACCCACCCCCTCGTGTGCCTTTTCGCTCTCCATCAGCGCTCCTCGCGAACAGCCCCAACAGTCTATTGAAGGCGATACAGGGGCGGGGGGGGGGGGTCTTTGTCTTTTGATCTTCAACGAGAGTAATTTTCGTTGTTTCAGTCGTTCTTTAAAACGCTGTTCCTAATTTGGGCCGTGAACGCCGGCTCACACAGCGGTCTGCTCTGGCGAACGCCGCCACGGACTCCCGAATGTCCACCCTGAAGCAGGCGGAGCAACGTCGCGTTTGGCACAAAGTCGCCCGCGACTCGAGTCGGTCAACTCGAGTGTCACCAAACTCTTTGGTTCTTTCGGTAAAGTCACGTAGGTAGAACAAATAATAAAAGGCCACGACATTTCGATCGCAACACAAGCAATCGTCACCAGGTGAGGCAACTGCAGCTCACCTGATGACGATTGCTTGTGTTGCGATCGAAACGTCGTGATATTTTAGTATTTTTTCTACCTACGTGACGTTACCGAAAGAAGCAAAGAGTATCGGATTCCTGCATTTACGAAAGCTTCAAATCAAGATCAAGTTTCACCGTTAGGGGGTTCTTAGAGCACAGCGCCGCAAGTTTAAAGAATCGAAGCACGGAAGCATTCAACCTTATTGAAGCAACATCAACGTTATCTACATCAACAACATTATGCACATCAACTGTGTCATCATCAACTTCATAAACATCACCTTCAACAACATTATTTAAATCATCGATTGTTATAAGGAACACGAACTGTACCATAGTCATCGGCTGTATCGACTTCAACATTACCATCCGATGAACGATGTCATCATCAGTACGTCAACAATATTAACATCCACCCCATGATCACCATTATCATCTTACATCATCAGCTGTATTATCAACATCGCTCGAAGTCCGTTCACAAATAACCACATCACTCAGATCAACAACTCTATTCAACACCATCAGGAACTTTTCCCAACTTTTACCGGCACTGTCAACATCACGGTTTAACGTAACCTCGCATCACCCGTCGGTCAGCCTGTATAATTCGCAATTACTGAAACGAATAAAGTACACAGGCCTTTGCCACTCCACTGCTGGATGAAGGCCCCCCCCCCCCCACGCCAGTCAGAGCGGTCGTTTGACCATACTTCACCACGCTGGCCGTTGCTTGGGGTGCTGGAGGGACACGTGCGATCCCACCTGAACCGATTTCATATATCGCGCGCCACTGATGTGTGTTACCAAAAAAAAAATCGAACGACCCCCGACGGAGAGGCTGTCAACTGTGAGCGACAGACTTGGATAATGAATCGTGTTAGCAATTGGCTACTGGCGGAGAAGCAGCGAGAGGCTCACAGTAACGAACATTTGGCATCTCTTGGCAGAGCAGGACTGAGTGAGTCTGGGAGCAGTGTCCATGGTCACGGCTGAAGAGGAGGGAACGAGTGGAGAGGAGTGAAGAGGAGTGATGGGCGGGTTTCCTCGTCACAACAGCGGACTCGTGCGCACTCTCGTGCACGCATACACACGGAGCACACACACACGTGCGCCTGTGTGTGTGTATATACAGGGTACTTCAAAAAAAATGTTAACACTTACACGGGACGATCGTTTTTAATGGCAAAAGAACGGATAATAAACTGTAACATGATAACGTTAAATCTTGACTTAAAGCTTTCGTGACCGCAGGAATTCATATTCTTTGGGTCTTTCGGTAAAGTCACGTGGATAGGTTCAAAGAAAATAAAAAAACTACGACGTTTCGATCGCAAAGCGTTCGTCATCCTGAGTCTCCACTTGTTCGCCATCATCGTCACCGCGTGCCAGGAATATTCTTCAGGTGGTCTCCACAGCCCGAAGGCAGCAGCACATGTCACGTGGTTATTGTTGCAAATTCTCTGAAGTGTTAAGATGGTTTTTTTAAGCACTCTGTATATTGCACATATACAAAGATTCCCCGTATAGCCTTAACGGACTGTTGGGGCAAGTGCTGTTAGCGAGCACCTATGAAGGCCGGCACTGTGGCACACGATGGGGTGGGTGGCCAACACCACGCCCGACCGCCTTTGTCACCCCAGTGGCGATGTTTATACATCGCACCAGGTACTCATTTGAGGCTGAGTCGACCTAGGGGAGGCCCAGGACCAGTTCAGATAATCGTCACCGGTGTTGGCCGTGAGCGGGTATCGAACTCGGTTCGACAGGCTCATAACGCAGCGTGCTAACCACTGCACTACTGCTACCCACACCATCCAACACACACACACAGAGGTTGCTGGCTATTATGAACCTTCTCGGTCTCAAGAGGGCTTCTCAGTCCCCTTGAGCTGCCAGCCACTTCCACCCCTCTCCAGGGACCCCACGGGGGCCCAGAGTGGCCTTCACTCGACATCCAAAACCCACGCCTCTGGAACGCAAACGACCCCGCTGGCTGAAAACACTCCACACGGCACCAAGTTAGGAAAAAAATCATGCACACGCATGGATTCTGTAACACCTACCATGCGTTTACCTAAATGGATATTTCATCAGCAGGACGGAAACCCAACGGGTCGCTGTTACAGCAGTGTCCTTTGCGTGTTTGCAAATAGCAACGTTTGGCCGTTTTTTGCGAATGTTCATTGAACTTCTTCCACAATACAGGTTTTTTTTTGTATTATGGATATTGGTGGCGAAAGCCTACGTTAAATTTCGATTTAAAGCTTTCGTTACTGCAGGGATTCATATTCTTGGTTATTTCGGTAAAGTCAGTGACTCCCCCCCCCCGCCTAGGGTCGTCCCAGTCATTCATCCAGGGTAGGTAAGCTAAAGATCCAACCCGGTAAACATGCTGACAAGTGGCAGTTTTTGAGGTTGTACTATGGTATGCTTTTGAGGGTCGACGGTTGTGGTTTATGTTTTGAATTGGAATTCCATGCTTCCCACTTTTTTTTACCAAACCCGCACTGACCTGCATGGTGAAGTTGGTCAAATCCCTACGTGAGGCCCTAATTGAGCAGTGGGGTAACGGGGGGGGGGGCTGTTTGTGTAGAAAAGCCACCCACCGTAGCGATGGGACGAATATCCATCCTCTCGTGGGAGGGTGTAGTAAGCGTTGTGTGTGTTGTGTTGGCGACTTAAAATCCTGTAACTTTATTTTCCAGTTGTACAGCTTGCGAGCTTGGTGGTGATGCCAGACATGGAGGTTAATTCTCTAGACCAGTGGATGGAAGTTTTCAAACATTTTAAAGTTAATTTCAAGAAATCGATTGCTGGGTCTAAAGGGGGCAAACGCTGTAATGTTTATTCCTAGATGGAGCGTTTGATAATCGTGGCGGCTGGATTTTTGACACTTCACCGCTTCCCTGCGATTCAATGTCACGATTTATTAAACCTTGTGGCGAAGGTAGCAGCTGCTGGTGGCGGTCGAAGAAGTTTCTATAAACCAGTACAGTGCACGTGATCTCGATAGAGAAATTGCTTCTCAAGTGCGTGCAGTTTAGTAAAATGTATCGCGAGCCTATTTAATCCATATGCCGTTTTGCTCTCTAGGCATACCTAAGTAAAGTTCAATTTTGATTTAAAGCTTTCGTGACTGCAGGGAATCATATTCTTGGTTCTTTCGGTAAAGTCACGTAGAAGGGAAACAATAAAATAATAAAAATATAAAATACAATTCTCACGACGTTTCGATTGCAACACAAGCAATCATCGTGAACCCCCCCCCCCCCTATTTTAATAACTATTATTTATCATTAACTTAGTTATCAGAAAGCCACACTGATCCTTAGGACTCGTTTTCAGGACACTGCTACATTGGGTTTTTATTTTGTTGAAGAAATGTTCAGTGAACTAGTGGCGAGTGTTTATTATACAAGCTGGAGGAAATCAGAGCTCCCCCCCCACTCCCGAGAAAACCCACACGCGCGACGGAGCAACACGCTATTCCCGTACAGATTGCAAAATATGGCGATTCGTCGCACTTGCTGTACTGCCTTCTCCTGACGAATCAGGGTATGGCACCTCTTCAATGCAACACACTTCAGAACCTGGTCTCATCACAGCTGAGTTAATGCAATTCTATGGGGCCTCTAAGTAGATCGACATGAAAGTCTATAGGCCTTCTATACAAGTGTTTGGCTATCTTTGGAATGTAAGTCAACTGGTGGCGAGATCGAGAACATCAGCCCGTTACACTTCATAACCTGGTTTCAATCACATGTGGCCGAATTCCAGATTTGAACCCAGGATCTTCAGTGGCGCGGAGCCATCTGGGGTAAGCTGAAACGAACTCGTCTGTCGACTCGTTTCGCTGATGAATCATCACCAGAATTCTTCCGTGCCCTTCGGCACAGTTCGGCAGCGTAGCCTCCCGGAGATTGAAAGCAAATCCCGTGACACATTTACGCTCGTCAGAAAGAAATAAAAAAACCCATCAACGGGAAAACGCAAAGCGCTGCATTCAACTGAAATTGGTCTTTATTTGGAACACATGAAAAGAAAAAGCGGGAGACAATATATGCATATTTGGAAGTATAATTGTATAAATGAGAAGTTGCCACATCAGGGAAGAGAAAGAGTGGGTTGGCTGGGCTGGTAAAGGAGGACAAAAAAAACCCAACAAAATATTAATCCATTACGCAAGCGTGTTGTTAACGAGACGAGACAAATACATCAATTAAAGATTTGCACTATCTTACAGGTACGTATTCCAATATTTGTGCTTTAGACAAATATGTACCAATGCATACAACTCGGCCGCACAGCAAGAAGCGGACCGCGCTATTTCTTCGCGCGCTGCCTCTTGCTGCTGTTGCTGTCGACCGCGGCCGTCGCACCGTGAGCCTTACGCGTCGTACGCCGCGCCGCACCCCCCACCGCCTCCTCGTCTCCGTGCAACATCTTGCGCCGTTTTGGCAGCGCCTGACCGGACGCGGACGGGCTCGCGGAACCGGCGGCGGCGGCGACAGGGACCGTGGTGGTGGCAGCGGCACAATTGGCGGCGCCACACCCACCGTCACCGCCGATGGAAGCGGAAGCGGGGGTAGCGGATGAACTGGCGGCTTCCCGTGCCAAGCACCGCTTGCGGTGGCTGCCGCTACTGCCGCCCCTGCCACCGCCACCGCCGGCGCTGCCACCCTGCGCCGCCACGGCGCCGGGACGCGAGCGACTCCGGTCGGCGGCGGGTGGCGCCGGCTGAGAACCGTCGCCTCTGTCGACCCCGCCGGCACCACCACCACCACCACCGCGTCCGGCACCCCTACCGCGACCTCGACCTCCACGTCTGTGCGCTGAATGCCCCGCCGCCCTCCCTCCCACGCCGGCAGCGAGAGCGACGTCGCCGGCGTCCGCCGCCGCCGAAGTCGACGGCGCGCCTCCGCCGCCCTTGGACGGTTGTAGCGCCGGCGGAGGCGGCAGCGCGAGCTGTACGCTGTGCTGCTCTGTGAGCTTGGCCTCGGTCTGACCCAGCTTGCGCTCCTGCTCCAGCAGACGCGTGCTCTGCTCGACCATCACCTGGCTCTGCTCCAGCAGCTTCTGCTCCTGCTCCTGCACCTGGCGCTGCAGCTCGCCCAGCTTGCCGCGCAGGTCGTTGAGCTCCTTGCGCAGGCCGCCCAGTCCGGTGCTGTTCGCCTTCAGCTGCGTCTGCATCTTGTTGAGCTCCTGCTTGGCGCAGCTCTGCTTCGAGAAGAGCTGCACGGTGGCCAGGGCGCCAGACGGGCCTGGTACTTGATCGGCGACGGGCACAGCAAGGGAGAGGAGGAGGTGGTGGGGAAGAGGCGGACGTGATGAGAAGACACCCGGGGTTAAAGATAATTTTTTACAACGATAATTACGCACGTGACGATTTTCCCCACTGCCACCACCACTGCCGTTTTCCCAGTGATTAAGTATTCATTGCGGATCTTGATTCATCATTCAAAATCTTGATTCGATAAAAAAATATATATACATTTTTATGACTTTTACCGTATATGAATTTACCATATATGTACGGTTTTGTTTAAACCATTTAGCTAAATTGAACATTCGCATAAAGCTTGCGTGAACCTTCAATTATACATTCCAAAACAGTGCATGAATGTACGTATTTTCAACCTCTTTCGCATCGTACGTAGCCAACCGTGCGTGCATCCATCGTGTACTATAAGTCTAAGCATAGATTTGAGGATATTTGGGCTCAGGATCAGAGGTCAGAGTGCTAAGCTGGTTCTCAACGGTCTCAGTCTGGTCACCAATAACTGCACAAAACAACACTCACTTTTGGTTTTGGATTTAGTTTCACCCAGTTGTATTTTGGAGGTCATGGGGTCCAATTTTTTCGAAGCACCATTTTATCTCGGCCACAAGTTCTCGCATGAGTGTTTATTAGTTTTGTCCTCCCTTCGGCTAAGTTGAATTGCAATTTCCATCGCTACACTCTGCGGTCATTGTTGAAGAGGCACCACTGACAAATTAACCTTATGGTGGGGTCCCATAAGCCCCCGGCTGTCGCATGAACTGCGTTGCGACGTCATTTTATGTCTGTTGAAGGCGAACGACATGGCAATCTGTTCCTTTCGACGAGCTCTGCACGATGCGCTAATAAAAGTTTCAAAATTTTGCTTCTTCTGCGCATTCGTCCTCGCTACGCTTGGACGACACGGCAACAGAATGATCCGCGCCAGGTGGGTCACGACGTTTATGTGCGCGGTGGGACGGAGTCGCCAAAAATAAATTAATTACGATTTATACTTCTGTTTATTCAGGACCCCGGGGTCTCGCCATACGGTTCAAATGTCCTTCTGTGGAAAAGATCTTCATAGTTCATCGGATCCCTCCATTCTAAATAAATAATCTGATTCCATGCATTTGTATCTCTGGTAATTTTTTTCCAAAATGGTTAGGGATGGACCTCTGTTGATCCAGCTGACACGGAATGACCGGGGATTAAGGTGGCAGAAGAGAGATGGGGAGAGATACGCGGAGAGACACTGAAAGAACCAATTTCACAAACACAGGGAGAGACTCGGGGAGAGACTCGAGGAGAGAATGTGACAAACACAAGGAGACATTTTAAACAGAAAGTGTGTGGGGACTTGGGAACGTGGGGGGACACGGAGACACGGCGGGAGCGAGCGGCTACCGGAGGTGGCGGACAGGAAGCGGGTGGACATGTCTCCTCCGATCTTCTTCTTGAGGCCCGGCACGATCTTCTCGTCAAAGTACTCCATGGCCATGGAGGAGATGTCACGCAGCTCCTGCAGCACCTCGTGGGCACGCTGCGGCGTGCGCGTGCCGTTCACGTAACGCAGCACGCGGTAGATCTCGTCAATCACCTGTCACAGCAGGGGGGGCGGTGGGGGGGGGATGGTGGGGGGGGGGGTGATGATCAGCGCGGTGAGGAGTTTCAAGTAAATGGGGGGGGGTGGCATCGGCGTCGCGTCACGAGACGAAGCGTGGTGTCGGATGTCTCGCAGAGCAGTGCAACAATACCCCCATGTTAGAGAACGCCCTCACAGAAGTGGCTACCACAGAGCTGGGGGGAAACGAGGAAAAAGCGAAGGGGGAGGGAGGGGGAAGCGAGGGGCAAGCGATGGGGAAGCAAAGAGAAGAGAGGGAGAACGAGGGGGAAGCGAGGGGCAAGCAACAGGAAGCGAGGGGGGAGGGGGAAGCAAGGGAGAAGTGAGGGGGAAGCGAGGGGGGAGCTAAGGGAAGTGAGGGGGAAGAGAGGAGGAAGTGAGGGGGAAGCTAAGAGAAGCGAGGGGGTAGCGAGGGGGAGCGAGGGGGGAGCGAGGGGGGAGCGAGGGGGGAGCGAGGGGGGAGCGAGGACTCACTCTGCCAGGGATGAAGCAACACAGGTTCATGTCGACGTATTTCATGAAGGTCATGGTGAGCAGGGAGAGTCTCGTCTCCACCGCCGCCAGGATGTCCGCGTGCCGCGCCAGCGGGTGGCTGCGTCGCTCCGACTCGCGCCTGCGCCGCACACATGTACGCGCGGGAGCATGAGCACTGGTGTAATTGCGAGCACTTGCACGCACGGGGCGAGTGAATGACGCGATTTGAATGAGCGTGCAAACAAAACACACGTGCACTCAAGCCACGCACGGAAACTCGTCAGTCTTGCATAATTAACAAGTAATATTTAAAAATACTTTGTTTAAAACACGCTTTAATGAAATGTACTGTACTGGAAATGGCAGAACTCCACGACTCCAGGAAGTGGCCCCGAGGCTTGCCATAACGTAAGGGGACCGTGGTGACTTACAGCCAACGTCAGTTGAGCGTGGACAGTTAGACCCAAGCCGAAACATATCATATAAAAAAGATGGTTTAAAAATAGATGTTTTCATTTTGAATGATATAATATAGTATTGTCATCAGTATGACATAAGTATACCAAGTTTGCAGTCGATACCACATTGGGAAGTGGGTTAAAATTGAGTTGCAAGATTTGAGGATACAACAACGACGACAACAACAACAACGACAACAACAACAGACAGAGTGAGTTAAATAAAAGCGTGTAAAAAGAAAATTGATCTTTTACTTCTGACATGGCCCCGAGGATGTTTTTTTCTGTGAGGTGGCTTAAGGGGTCAGAGACCACGAGCCGGTAATGTCGAGAGCCTGAGTTCAAATCCAGGTTCTCAGCCGGCTGTGATTAAACTGGGTTCGCAAGTGTGGCGAGTTGGGGGGGGGGGGGGTGAGAGGCCACCACGACATGCGGTATCAACTGGGGGGGGGGGGGGGCCGTACAAAGAAGGTTGAGAATCCACCGATTTATTGTTTTTGTTAGTGGTCGCTGGCTGGCACGAGGACCCTACGTACCTGGGCAGCTGGGACTTGACTTGCTTCTGGCACTGGGCGTGGTAGCGCTCCACCCGCAGGAAACCCTGGTTCAGGACCCGCTGGCAAATCACGTTCATCTTCTTACAGACCTGGGCATCGATCGGCAAGCGCACGGCAACAGCTTCACCACTGGGCAAGCTGACGATTCGGCGATCACAGTCGACTCTTACGCCGGAGATACGCGTGTCGAGTCGCGGCCGCGTAAGAAACGATCGTGTTTTTATTATCCATAATATCGGGTCGTCTCATCCACACTGCTCATCGGCCACACTGTACTACGTTGAACTTCTTTCGCACCGTACGTAGCCAACTGTGCTAATCGGAGGTGTGGGGGAAGGACAACAAACTAAACACAAAAAGGAGTTATCAAGAAATTATTTTTTAATGTAGATGATTTAAAAATGCAGTGGCTTTCTAATCTCGGAAAGAAGAGCGTTCCAGGCAGCCGCAGAAGCGCATGCTAAAGCGTGCGATGCGGTGACCGTCTTTGTTCGATGGCCAGCCAAAAGCTGCTGCAAGGATGACCGAAGTTCACGTGATGGTTTATGTTCCTTAAGATCAGCAAGGTAACACTTCTCTCTCTCACACACTCTCTCTCTCTGCTTCTTCCCTCCCACTGCTCCCCACTGCGGAATTCCCTCTTCCCATGCCTGTCTCTTTTTCCCCCAAGCACTCATAATAACCGCGGTCAAGGAACGCGTTGACGCCGATGTATTGTGCTGTTTGTTGCTGATCCACTCCGTGAGCCCATTCAAGTGATTCGCTTATTTTCCCTATACTTGTCACTCCTATTGTGTTTTTGTATTGTTTGTTGTTGTAACGTTCTGTCCTGCCCCTACTGGACATCTGTGAAAAAGAGCTTTATAGCTCACCAGATTCCTCGAGGAAACGTGCATATTCAGATTCTTAAAATCCTGCAATCCACATGGCTTCCGTCTCAAACGGGTGTGTGGTGGTGCTCATCTCCCGAGACCATTGTGGAGACCCGACCGCTCTCACTGGCGTAGCTACCGAGTGTGTAGGCGGTGCAACTGCACCGGCGCCCACGGGCCACAGGGGCCTGGGCACCGGCCTACGAAGAAGGGGGCGACGAAATTGGACAGGGAGTGGAATAAGGTCACTGTTGACTTTCCACAAAATGGTACTTATGTTATCAGGCTGAGTGGAACTCACGATCTTAAGACTGTAACTCGCGATACTATGGCTGCAAGTGCGCACTCTTATAATTGCGATCTCACAATTATGAGTAGGGCACTAAGAACTGCTTCCTCGGCCACCTCAGTCGCTGAATGATGCATTGTAAATGTCCGTGTTTGTACACGCTGCGATAAAACATGAATCGGCATCGTTAATGGAGGCTCAAACTTTCTCCAAGTAAACAAAAGACATCATAATTACTCTTGTTATTGTGACGATCACAGCCCTGGTTGGTGTTTATCCGTGGGGTCCTGTCCCACTCATTGGTACTGCCGCCGTATTTTTAGTCCCTAATGCGTTATTTCCATTCTCCTGCGGGTTCGGTTACGTAAACTCCACCTCCACGCCACGTCTATATTTAACTCAATGCCATTAACAAACCCTCGCAGGCGACAGAAGACTTGACGCAGCAGAGCCGAGGACCTTAAGTTCACAACCCTGCCCCTCCTCAAATGACGCGCCATGCCGCCCCAACAGGCGAAGCTCTCCCGGTGGCGTAGCCCTTCGGGTTGTCCAGGCGGTGAAATCCACCGGGGCCCGCGGGCCGAAAGAGAAGAGCATAGCCCCAGTGGCACCAGGCAAGAGTGCAACGGCGGGGAAGGGTGTTTAGTAGGAGAGAGGGCAGGGTGAGGAGGAATAGTGGGATGAGAATTCTCCCGGTACTGCCCAGAAGGAAACGTCTTAGCTGGGGGATAATCCTGATTAAGAGATAACCCGCACTGGGATATTGCATGAGGGCTATCCTATGGAGGTGGGGGTGTCTTGTCCACCAGATCAACCCTGTCCACCTCTCCAATTGTTCCAACCGTCACACCCGTCCACTCGACCGCCGATATTCCTCTCCAACTAAATTAAAGTCCATTTGTTTATCAAACTAAAAGCGACGAGGACGTAGTTTCATTTTCAGGAATGATCTGGGTCACAAAAATTACAAATTCAACACAATAACCAACTGCGAATTGGGGGGAACCGCATAATCCTAACGGTGTACGCCCATGAACCCAAACTTACGAGGTTTGGGGTCAGTGGATTGAGACTTTTAGAAAAAAAACTGGATTGTGATGAGGTGGCAAGGAGGTGGCAGTATTGCAAGTTAGTTTGTGAACTCATGTGCAGAACCTGTTGTTATCCACTGTAATTGTGATGGGGGGGTTTTTTGTGGGTACTGTAATTTCGTTTCTTCACACACACACAAACACCATGTAAAATTAAACTATCCAAACACCCCAAATACAGGATGCTCCTGAAAAAGTCTCGAGAATCGATGAGGCTTTCCTGATAAAATGCTTGACTCGCTAGCCATCCACTTAATGATCCATCAATCCGTCCATCCAGGCTCCTCTCCACCCATTCATTAGTTCACTCAACTCATCCACCAATTAACCTACCTACCCAGCCACCCATCCAACTATCTGCCATTCCAACTATCTAGCTCTTCACCCATCCACTCATTCACCTCCTGCCCACCATTCACTCCTCTAACTCTCCATGCCTCCCAACAATCCACATCTTACACGTACTCACGTGTCTCCCCATCTACCCATCGGCATGTTTAACCATTCAACTGTCCACTTCTCCGCTGATCCCCACCTAACATCGCCCCTCAACTCCTCCACCACTCCACACTTTTCACGAGCGTTACAGCTTCAGGGGAAGCGGCGTTGATGTGAAACGATGGTTCAGATCGCGCAAGCCGAGGAATCGTAAACAGGTTACGAGTTCAAAAGACTCCCCCACCCACCCTCCTCCTCCATCGGGGTTAGACAAACACACTGCGTTTCTTGTGGAGGTAGATAAAGTGTGTACCACTTTGTGGGAAGGTCAAAAAGGTGTTCGTCCGTCCGTGGGCAGACTAATCTCGCACATGGGAATGTGTACATTTATCCAAATGGCCCAGGCCTGTAAACAGGATATGAGCAGCTCCCACCATTTGTTTGAACAGGAAATAACTTTTTTTTTGTTAACATTAAGCGACTGTACAGACGTAGGTAGAGGCGATGGGTTGGTTGCTGGCAGCATCGGAGGACGCCGCTTGGCAAGATGCAAGGAGGGGGAGTCAAGGTAAAGATGATAATGAAGTGGGCAGCTATAGACAGGTGACTAGAGGGCAGCACCACGGGCAGCACGAGCAGATGCTGAACAGAGGAAGGCATACCATTTTGAACAGGGGGAATTATCAACACATTACGAAGAGGGCAGCGTAAGTGGAGGGTAGCACCAATAGATGATTGTGAATAGGGCAGCGTCAGTAAATATGATGAATAAAGGGCAGCATTATGAGATGGTGGTTATGAATAGGGGCAGCATCAGGGGATGATGAACCGAGGGGAGAATCAGTAAACATGATGAGGGCGGCTTTAGGAGGTGAAGGTTATGGATAGGGGCAGCATCAGAAAACAATTAATAGAGGGCAGCGTCGGTAAATAAAAATTAAAGGGCAGAGGCCGCGGTTCACATTCCCTAGCACAGATACGCAACAACCGGTCTGCTTAGCCAATCGTGGTCCACGTCGCCGCGTGTCAGCCAATGAGCGCGCGCGTAAGCGCGTGTGCAGTGGGAAATGTGGTTACCGGGGCAACGGTGTCCAGCCCCCTCCCACTTTCGTGTCCCCACCCCAAGCCCCACCCTCCCCTCAGCCTAACCCCGCCCTTCGTAGGCCACGCTCCCGCTCAGTCCCGCCCCCCTCTTTCGCTCCGCCCATAACACAACAGGGTCCGCCCCCTCCCTCATTCGCAACCCTTCACTTGGGAGCACCCCGTAACTCCCGTCTCGTTTAAGCACCGCCCATTATCACAATAGCTCCGCCCCTTCATTATATCGCCACGCCCAACTCGCTAAACCCCACCCCCTACTTTAGCCCATCCACTCCCCCCATTTAGCCTGGCCCCCACATTCACCAAACGCCCCCCCCCCCATTGAACCCCCCCTTTCCCCCCCCCAACACAGCCCCGCCCCCACCCCCCCCACACACACAGCCCCGCCCCCTTCCCACCAGGCGCAGGCCGCTGATCTCGTCGTAGCTGCAGAAGGCGAGCACCGCGTCCATGGCGACGGACGGCAGCGACAGGAGCTCGCTCTCCGCCTCCATGCGGCCCCGCGGTGCGAGCCCCGGGAGGCGACGAGGACAGGAGGAGGAGGAGGGAGGATGCGAGTGGCGGCGCGGGGGGGCTCGCAAGATGTCCTCCTCCGCGGGGAGGGGGGAAAGGGGGAGGAGCCTGAGGGGCGGGGGGTGGGAGGTTGAAGAAGCGGAACTTCCTGCGCACGTGACGCGGACGTGACGCCACGGCTAGCTTTGGGGGGGGGTGTGGTGCGGTGACGTCACGCGATATTGCGATATATCGCACGCTGCAAAGGATGCGCGATTATCGCGATAATCGTACGGGTTTCCCCCCCCCCCGCCTGGTTAAACGGAATAAACTTGATTGTAAAAGGAGGGAAGCCGATATCGCGATAATCGTCAAAGTGTGATATTTTTCCTCAACATTTTAAATCGACGTGCTTCTGATTATTTTGTTGCTATTATACATTTACCCATGATGACGACAATTTGTTGAGCTATCATTTTTAATATTACCAGCTTTACCTGGTAATATTAAAAATATATATTATAGTTTTACTTGTATAGCTTTTAAAGCGATTCGTTTACCTTCCTTATAAAATGAAGTGAATCAAAGTAAAAAAATATAATAAACCAAATACAAACAAAAAAACACTAATGTAGACTGTTATTCTAGTTCTTAACCTCGGTGAGTGTACTGACAGTCTATAATGTAGACTGTAGCCTGGTTATTAAGTTGAGTGAGTGTACTGACAGTCTATAATGTAGACTGTAGCCTGGTTATTAAGCTTAGTGAGTGTACTGACAGTCTATAATGTAGACTGTAGCCTGGTTATTAAGTATGGTGAGTGTACTGACAGTCTATAATGTAGACTGTAGCCTGGTTATTAAGTTTGGTGAGTGTACTGGCAGTCTATAATGTAGACTGTAGCCTGGTTATTAATTTTGGTGAGTGTACTGGCAGTCTATAATGTAGACTGTAGCCTGGTTATTAAGTATGGTGAGTGTACTGACAGTCTATAATGTAGACTGTAGCCTGTTTAATAAGTTGAGTGAGTGTACTGACAGTCTATAATGTAGACTGTAGCCTGGTTATTAATTTTGGTGAGTGTACTGACAGTCTATAATGTAGACTGTAGCCTGGTTATTAAGCTGAGTGAGTGTACTGACAGTCTATAATGTAGACTGTAGCCTGGTTATTAAGTTGAGTGAGTGTACTGACAGTCTATAATGTAGACTGTAGCCTGGTTATTAAGCTTAGTGAGTGTACTGACAGTCTATAATGTAGACTGTAGCCTGGTTATTAAGTATGGTGAGTGTACTGACAGTCTATAATGTAGACTGTAGCCTGGTTATTAAGTTTGGTGAGTGTACTGGCAGTCTATAATGTAGACTGTAGCCTGGTTATTAATTTTGGTGAGTGTACTGGCAGTCTATAATGTAGACTGTAGCCTGGTTATTAAGTATGGTGAGTGTACTGACAGTCTATAATGTAGACTGTAGCCTGTTTAATAAGTTGAGTGAGTGTACTGACAGTCTATAATGTAGACTGTAGCCTGGTTATTAATTTTGGTGAGTGTACTGACAGTCTATAATGTAGACTGTAGCCTGGTTATTAAGCTGAGTGAGTGTACTGACAGTCTATAATGTAGACTGTAGCCTGGTTATTAAGTTGAGTGAGTGTACTGACAGTCTATAATATAGATTGTAGCCTGGTTATTAAGCTTAGTGAGTGTACTGGCAGTCTATAATGTAGACTGTAGCCTGGTTATTAAGTTTGGTGAGTACTGACAGTCTATAATGTAGACTGTAGCCTGGTTATTAAGTTGAGTGAGTGTACTGACAGTCTATAATGTAGACTGTAGCCTGGTTATTAAGCTTAGTGAGTGTACTGACAGTCTATAATGTAGACTGTAGCCTGGTTATTAAGTATGGTGAGTGTACTGCCAGTCTATAATGTAGACTGTAGCCTGGTTATTAAGTTTGCTGAGTGTACTGGCAGTCTATAATGTAGACTGTAGCCTGGTTATTAATTTTGGTGAGTGTACTGGCAGTCTATAATGTAGACTGTAGCCTGGTTATTAAGTATGGTGAGTGTACTGGCAGTCTATAATGTAGACTGTAGCCTGGTTATTAAGTTTGGTGAGTACTGAAGTCTATAATGTAGACTGTAGCCTGGTTATTAAGTTTGGTGAGTGTACTGACAGTCTATAATGTAGACTGTAGCCTGGTTATTAAGTTTGGTGAGTGTACTGACAGTCTATAATGTAGACTGTAGCCTAGTTATTAAGCTGAGTGAGTGTACTGACAGTCTATAATGTAGACTGTAGCCTGGTTATTAAGTTGAGTGAGTGTACTAACAGTATAATATAGATTGTAGCCTGGTTATTAAGTTTGGTGAGTACTGACAGTCTATAATGTAGACTGTAGCCTGGTTATTAAGCTGGGTGAGTACTGACAGTCTATAATGTAGACTGTAGCCTGGTTATTAAGCTGGGTGAGTACTGACAGTCTATAATGTAGACTGTAGCCTGGTTATTAAGTATGGTGAGTGTACTGACAGTCTATAATGTAGACTGTAGCCTGGTTATTAAGTTTGGTGAGTGTACTGACAGTCTATAATGTAGACTGTAGCCTGGTTATTAAGCTGAGTGTACTGGCAGTCTATAATGTAGACTGTAGCCTGGTTATTAAGTTTGGTGAGTACTGACAGTCTATAATGTAGACTGTAGCCTGGTTATTAAGTTGAGTGAGTGTACTGACAGTCTATAATGTAGACTGTAGCCTGGTTATTAAGCTTAGTGAGTGTACTGACAGTCTATAATGTAGACTGTAGCATGGTTATTAAGTATGGTGAGTGTACTGCCAGTCTATAATGTAGACTGTAGCCTGGTTATTAAGTTTGCTGAGTGTACTGGCAGTCTATAATGTAGACTGTAGCCTGGTTATTAATTTTGGTGAGTGTACTGGCAGTCTATAATGTAGACTGTAGCCTGGTTATTAAGTATGGTGAGTGTACTGACAGTCTATAATGTAGACTGTAGCCTGTTTAATAAGTTGAGTGAGTGTACTGACAGTCTATAATGTAGACTGTAGCCTGGTTATTAATTTTGGTGAGTGTACTGACAGTCTATAATGTAGACTGTAGCCTGGTTATTAAGCTGAGTGAGTGTACTGACAGTCTATAATGTAGACTGTAGCCTGGTTATTAAGTTGAGTGAGTGTACTGACAGTCTATAATATAGATTGTAGCCTGGTTATTAAGCTTAGTGAGTGTACTGGCAGTCTATAATGTAGACTGTAGCCTGGTTATTAAGTTTGGTGAGTGTACTGACAGTCTATAATGTAGACTGTAGCCTGGTTATTAAGTTTGGTGAGTGTACTGACAGTCTATAATGTAGACTGTAGCCTGGTTATTAAGCTGAGTGAGTGTACTGACAGTCTATAATGTAGACTGTAGCCTGGTTATTAAGTTGAGTGAGTGTACTAACAGTATAATATAGATTGTAGCCTGGTTATTAAGCTTAGTGAGTGTACTGGCAGTCTATAATGTAGACTGTAGCCTGGTTATTAAGTTTGGTGAGTACTGACAGTCTATAATGTAGACTGTAGCCTGGTTATTAAGCTGGGTGAGTACTGACAGTCTATAATGTAGACTGTAGCCTGGTTATTAAGTATGGTGAGTGTACTGACAGTCTATAATGTAGACTGTAGCCTGGTTATTAAGTTTGGTGAGTGTACTGACAGTCTATAATGTAGACTGTAGCCTGGTTATTAAGCTGAGTGTACTGGCAGTCTATAATGTAGACTGTAGCCTGGTTATTAAGCTGAGTGTACTGGCAGTCTATAATGTAGACTGTAGCCTGGTTATTAAGTATGGTGAGTGTACTGACAGTCTATAATGTAGACTGTAGCCTGGTTATTAAGATTAGTGAGTGTACTGACAGTCTATAATGTAGACTGTAGCCTGGTTATTAAGTATGGTGAGTGTGCTGACAGTCTATAATGTAGACTGTAGCCTGTTTATTAAGTTGAGTGAGTGTACTGGCAGTCTATAATGTAGACTGTAGCCTGGTTATTAAGATTAGTGAGTGTACTGACAGTCTATAATGTAGACTGTAGCCTGGTTATTAAGTATGGTGAGTACTGACAGTCTATAATATAGACTGTAGCCTGTTTATTAAGTTGAGTGAGTGTACTGACAGTCTATAATGTAGACTGTAGCCTGGTTATTAAGTATGGTGAGTACTGACAGTCTATAATGTAGACTGTAGCCTGGTTATTAAGTTGAGTGAGTGTACTGACAGTCTATAATGTAGACTGTAGCCTGGTTATTAAGTATGGTGAGTGTACTGACAGTCTATAATGTAGACTGTAGCCTACACCAGCATGTGGACGCTGCCGTGCCCCCTCGCCAGCCTGCACAGGTCGACCCCCTCCCTACCTTTCATCATGCTAAGTCCGCCAATTAAATGCAAATTTTTATGCTAATTCCTTTGTCAAGGCACCTTAATTACTCTCACACAGCTTAAAGGTCGCGGTCTGAGCTTGGCTGTGTTTCACTCCAGCGCTGTCCTCGAGACAGTCTGGTCCCTTCACCTGATGAAGGCCGCTTGTGTTGTGGCCGAAACGTCGTGATTTTTGTTGTTTTATTTTTTACCTACGTGACTTTACCAAATAGAACCAAAGTAAAGGTTCTCATGTTTATACAAGTTTAGAGATGGTCGTAGGTTGTCAGCAGCATGGGCAGGGCAGCTAATGTTAATGTTGGAGAACACTTTCTTTGGGTCTTTCGGTAAAGTCACGTAGATAGGTTCAAAGAAAATAGCAAAAAAATACGACGTTTCGATCACAACACAAGCGCCCATCATCAGCCACGAAAGCTTTAAGTCAAGATTGAATGTAGGAGAAAACAACGACACCGGCAGTGGGGTCTACACCAATCTAAGGGGGCCGCCAGGCAATCATTGCACCTCGCTACAGACATCCACACACACTGCTGATGGTGGAGGTTGACAAGAAATCACAAATCAAGTCATGATCCAAAGTGGTTGATGACATCTTGCCAATGATTGCTGAGTTCATAACCATCCTACTAGGTGGAAATTGTGTCTGTCTCTATATATGGATGGCTTCATGAACGAATCTTTGTTGATAGCCAGTAGGCTTGTTGAACCCCATCAGATTTCGAGATCAGAAGCGAAGGTGGGGGGGTATTGCAATTATATAATAGATCAGTAATCAGCCACTTAGCATGTGACTCCTCTATAAGTTATTGCAATGTGTTGTGTATTATTTAATGATACGCCTCCAGGCTACGCTGAGTCTGTAGCTATCACAGCGGTTGACATTATTTGTATTCTCAATTTCGATTGATTCTCTAATTAGTCTTGGCCAGTAATAATTAGTTTTGAATAACAATAACAACTTTATCAAAATCAATTGAATGTCGTTGTTGGCAAGCATGCTCTGCCACTGCTGACAGCTGTGTTTGGGATAATTTAATATTCCTTTGGTGTTATTTTAATTGTCTTACGCTAATGTTACGTCCTGTCTGTCCAATATAGCATTTACCCCATAAGCAGTTTATCAGATATACACCTTCTGTTGATAACTTCGGTAATTCATCTTTAGTACAAGACACTAGTTTTTGAATTTTGGGTACCTTACCAAATCGCACTTTAATGTTTTGCTTTTGCAAAACACGGGCTAATTTGTCAGTAACTCCCGAGATATATGGTATGTTAATTATTTTCATAATCTGACAACTTTCAGCAGTATTGTTGTTCGGTCTTGGTTTGGCATTCAATGCTCTGTTATTTTGATCATTATTGTAGCCATTCAGTCGTAGTGCTTCCTTAACATGTTTAATCTCTCTCCTTCGACTTTCACCATCTGACACTGATTTTGCCCGATGTATGAGCGTCTTGATGAGAGGGTGATGATGCGAATCTGCATTCAGATAGCCATCTGTGTGCGTTCCGTTGCGGTAGACGCTGTGTGGTGTTATTTTACCATTTTGACCGCGTCCAAGCAAAACATCTAGGAAGGGGTGTGTTGTTCATCTCCATTTCCATGGTGAACTGAATGGCCGGGTTTTGTGCATTGAGATTATTAAAAGATGCATTGTCTATCTTTACCATGTGGCCAGACAACCAAAGTGTCATCGATATATCTAAACCAAAAAGATGGTTTTAATGTACTTGAGGCAAGTGCTCTTATTTTAAAAGTTTTCCATGTACAGATTTGATATAGCAGGAGACAAATGAGAGCCCATTGCTGCTCCTTTTGTTTAAAGAAGTCACCTCTCCATAAGAAATAAGTGTTATTTAGACAATGGTCAGCTACTTTTGGAATATTTTCTGATAAACCTGTCTGCTTGACTTGTGTATGAAGTAATTGAAGTGACTCGTTAACTGGAACCGACACATTGGGTGAGTGGGCGAGTGGCTGAAGTGTGTGATTGGTGTGTTTCTAAATTAGTGGGTGAATGGATGTGTGATTAGGTGAGTTGCTAAATTAAGTGGGTGGGTGAGTGGATGTATGATTCGGTCAGTTGCTAAATTAGTGGGTGGGTGGGTTAGGTAAGTGGATAAGTGTGTGATTGGGTGAATTGCTAAATTAAGTGGGAGGGCGAGTTAGGTGAGTGAATGAGTGTGTGATTGGGTGAGTGGGTAGATGAGTGCGGTCGTGGTGGTGTTGTGGAAGAGACGAAACTAGTGTCTTGGTCGGACTGATCCCTCAACCTGGGTGGATGAATCAATGGGTGAAGTTTACCACGGAACAGTCATCAATCATTATGGCAGTGGTATAAGAGTGACAAGGAGGCAACTGACCGATGACGGTGAGCGAGTGACTCCTGTGAATCCAGCGAGTTCTGTACCAACAGTCAGCCTGATTGAATATAAGTTGAATTCCATGAAGTTCATTCCGTGCCTCCGATGAGCACGGTTGGCTACGTACAGCGCGAAAAAAGTTCAACATACATTAATCAAGGTAGATGGAGGTATGGCAGTCGAGTATTTTCGATTCGTAAAAGGCCCGATACGTTGTTTTATCACGTGACCTTCCAAACTTTCTACAGCGTGCGGGTTGATCATTACAGACACTATTGTGCGAAATTAATGTCCCGTATTATGTTGCGTCTTGCAATATACGCTAGTTCATTAAAGTTAGGGGGGCGCAGTTGCCGGCGAAGCGGCCGGCAATCGGCAGCTTGAGAGTTGAAATCCTGGTTGGGCGAGGGGGGGGTGACTCAGCCCATCATTCCTCCCTCAGGGAGCGATAAAATAGTTACCACGTTGTGGGAAAAGTCAATAGTCAATAGTGGTTGTCCTATTGATTTACTCTCCCCCACCACATGAATGTGCAATTTCCATAAACTGGCTCAGTCATGTAAACAGAAGCACGCCGTCTGAATGCTCGTTTGAGATATGAGCAAGATCTCAATTTGGGGTTAATGTGAAGTGGCCAAAGGGACCTCATGTGGAGTGGTCAAGGGGATAACACGTAGCGTGCCCATGGGGACCCACGTAGCGTGCCCAAGGGGACACACGTGTAGTGGCCAAGGGGACACACGTGGTGTGCCCAAGGGGACCCACGTGCAGTGGGCAAGGAGACCCACGTGGAGTGGGGAAGGGGACCCACGTGTAGTGGCCAAGGGGACCCACGTGCAGTGGGCAAGGAGACCCACGTGGAGTGGGGAAGGGGACCCACGTGAAGTGGCCAAGGAGACCCATGCGGACTGGCCAAGGGGACCGTGCGGAATGTCCAAGGGGGCCCACGTGTAGTGGGCAAGGGGACCCACGTGGAGTGGCCAAGGGGACCCACGTGTAATGGGCAAGGGGACCCACGTGGAGCGGCCAAGGGGACTCACGTGTAGTGGCCAAGGGGACCCACGTGTAGTGGCCAAGGGGACCCACGTGGAGTGGCCAAGGGGACCCACGTGGAGTGGCCAAGGGGACCCACGTGGTGTGCCCAAGGGGACCCACGTGGAGTGGCCAAGGAGGCCCACGTGTAGTGGGCAAGGGGACCCACGTGAAGCGGCCAAGGAGACCCATGCGGAGTGGCCAAGGGGACCGTGCAGAGTGGCCAAGGGGGCCCGTGCGAAATGTCCAAGGGGGCACACGTGGAGTGGCCAAGGGGACCCACGTGGAGTGGCCAAGGGGACCCACGTGTAGTGGCCAAGGGGACCCAGGTGGAGTGGCCAAGGGGACCCACGTGGAGTGGCCAAGGGGACACACGTGGTGTGCCCAAGGGGACCCACGTGCAGTGGGCAAGGAGACCCACATGGAGTGGGCAAGGGGACCCACGTGTAGTGGCCAAGGGGACCCACGTGGAGTGGCCAAGGGGACCCACGTGTAGTGGGCAAGGGGACACACGTGGAGTGGCCAAGGGGACCCACGTGTAGTGGCCAAGGGGACCCACGTGGAGTGGCCAAGGGGACCCACGTGGAGTGGCCAAGGGGACCTACGTGGAGTGGCCAAGGGGACCCACGTGGAGTGGCCAAGGGGACCCACGTGGAGTGGCCAAGGGGACCCACGTGGAGTGGCCAAGGGGACCCACGTGTAGTGGGCAAGGGGACCCACGTGGAGCGGCCAAGGGGACCCACGTGTAGTGGCCAAGGGGACCCACGTGGAGTGGCCAAGGGGACCCACGTGGAGTGGCCAAGGGGACCCACGTGTTGTGGGCAAGGGGACCCACGTGGAGTGGCCAAGGGGACCCACGTGGTGTGCCCAAGGGGACCCACGTGGAGCGGCCAAGGAGACCCACGTGTAGTGGGCAAGGGGACCCACGTGAAGCGGCCAAGGAGACCCATGCAGAGTGGCCAAGGGGACCGTGCAGAGTGGCCAAGGGGGCCCGTGCGGAATGTCCAAGGGGGCCCACGTGGAGTGGCCAAGGGGACCCACGTGGAGTGGCCAAGGGGATCCACGTGTAGTGGCCAAGGGGACCCAGGTGGAGTGGCCAAGGGGACCCACGTGGAGTGGCCAAGGGGACACACGTGGTGTGCCCAAGGGGACCCACGTGCAGTGGGCAAGGAGACCCACATGGAGTGGGCAAGGGGACCCACGTGTAGTGGCCAAGGGGACCCACGTGGAGTGGCCAAAGGGACCCACGTGTAGTGGGCAAGGGGACACACGTGGAGTGCCCAAGGGGACCCACGTGGAGTGGCCAAGGGGACCCACGTGGATTGGCCAAGGGGACCCACGTGGAGTGGCCAAGGGGACCCACGTGGAGTGGCCAAGGGGACCCACGTGGAGTGGCCAAGGAGACCCATAAAGGATGTTGTGGAGACAGCATATGGTTATTGTGATATTTCCGGTGTTTCAATGTCCCCCCCAACGTTGAGTTCATTGGAATCCGTCATTCACATTTAAATCCGTTTTGGTTTCAACCTGAGGTGATTAAGCAAAAATAATAAAGCAAAATCAATGTGAAAAGAAACATTGCCAGACTTTTTGTATTTTATTCTCAGTTGGAACAGTGTAGGACAATTCGTTTCAAAAATGGTGGAACGATAAAGGTCCAAATGAACAAAGTAACTTTGTGTGCCTGTTATCACAATATAAATTAAGACAACAATGTTGACGGTGACATAACTCCCTTAAATGAACAGTTAAGATGAAGGTAGACAAAAATTACCAGCTGGCAAAATAAAAGCAAAACAATGACAATAAATTCTTAAATTCATAACACGTCGAATCGCGTGTGTTAAGAATCCATTGATTAACGTTTATGAAAATGATGGGTTCATGTGACACCTGCAGCCACGACGGGCAGCTACATTCATCACAAAAGAGTAAAACAAAATTCTCTAATCTTGATCCAGCACTGCGAGTCACAGAATCGCGAGCGTAGGAGAAGAATGGGTGCCACGGTGGTGAGATGTTAACTTCCATGCCTGGTATTCAGAAGGTCGTGGGTTTGATCCCGACCCTGACACCTGTATATTTGGAGTTTGCATGTCTCTCCCCGTGGTGGCATGAATTTTTCTCCGGGTCCTCCGGTTTTCCCATCCAAGTTTAGAATGAACATGAGTTTAGAGTATTTGGCGGCTATAATAATTCCATATGATTAGCCACTTCGTTGAGCTATCATTTATGGCCAGGTCGCTACTGAAAAAGAGCTACATAGCTCAGTGGGCTCTACCTGGTAAAATGTTCCGTTTAGTTTAAGAATTCTACACACCAACATCACTCTACGAAGCACTCCCGTCCCCCTCGCCAACGGCTGCCTCGGGGGCTCGCAAAACCAGCAGCGTCGAGCCAGCGAGGGGGGCCCTCACTGTATGGATATTTCCCCCCCACCCCCCACCGGCAATTTGGCCGAACGGAGCCAAAAACCAAACAATGATTCGCCGGTGTCACGAGACATCGGAATCTGGCTCGGGGCCAAGCAAGGGGGTCGGGGGGGGGGGCGGAGTTGATCACTTTCGTCAAACGTTGCGTCGGTACACTCGAACACATGACGACGCCGACGACGACGCCGACGACGCCGACGACGCCGCGCGACAATGCACGCGACGACCGCGCGCGACGTCGGCGGCACGGCTCAGCTTCCGCGGTCGAAAACTAACACCGGCGCCTCCCGAACCACTCCAGGGCAGGGGGCCCTGGCGCGGCTCAGTTGTGCGGTGGGAAAAAGAGGCTCCAGCTTCGTCTGGATTGTAAGATTTTTCAGAAAGTGAGACGCAAACCCAAACTTGTGCTCGGTGTCAGAAAAGTCACTTAACAATCCAGTGCATCTCATGATCCAGAGAATATGGTGACGTTGCTCCAGCAGCAGCAGTTGAAGCAGCTATGGCTCTGACACCTGTAGGACAACAACCAGATGAGCGTGCCAAACCCGACACGCATCGTCACATCTTGTCACCTGCCGCCGCCGCCGCCTCCTCATCATCATCATCATCGTCGTCCTCCTTGGAGTCGAGCTCGTTAAGATACTTGCGACACTTCTCCATCAGCACCTTGATTGCCTCGCACACGAGCACGCTGGGCGGCAGGGCCCCCGTCGACTCCACCGAGACTGCGGGGTTGGGGGAGTGGGGGGGGGACACGCATCACGACGAGCGGCATTACGTCACAATGACCAAAAACTATCTGGCTGGAGGTTTTTCCGCAGCCGCTTAAAATCCAAGTGTGATCCTTCTGGAGTTAGGCCACGTGTTGAGCATATCTTCTCTCAAGCTTTTCCACACACTACTGCAGGACATCTTCAGGGAGATGCAGATACCTGGAGGCCAGGACAGAATCCTCACTTCCCGACTCCTGAAGTTGCCCGCAAGGAGTGCGTTCTGGCGAAAGCTCGAGAGAAGAATTGCTCGACACGTGGCCTCACCCACATGGCCGCATTTGGAACAGAAACCAAGTGCGGAAAAATCCACCGTACGCATGGATTCCGTGATGCTTTGAAACGGGCGCTTGTCTTTGTAAGCGTTTCATTCACAATGCGGAATCACGGGGGAGGGTCTTGTGGTGCTGGGAACTCACAGATGAAATGATTCCTGATCCGGCACAGCTGCACCAAATCCTTCAGATCCTGCGCACGACACACACACACAAGTGACGCGTCAAGTGAAAAACGCGTTAAGCGAAAAAATGTCCTTATAAATAATGTAAGGATACTTGGCAAGATACGATGCATGCACACACAGTAAGATGGTGGGACATATGACTGACGGCAATACTGTATCATTTCGCGTACCATATCACTCCACTCAGCCATGCAGCTCAACAAAGTAGTTTGTCGTCGACCACTCAGAAACCGTGTTATAACGGGCGCCTTCCCGCGTTATAACGGTGCGCGTTCCACGTTGTGCTAAAATATTTCGCTAATCTAAGAACTGCGTTAGAGCGAAACCGCAGCATGTGAACACCAAGTGTTAAGTGAGGACTTACCGTACACGGAACTTTTTTCTCGGCGAGCCTTACTTTTGTTGCTACACATCCGTCTTGTGAAACTAAACTGGTTTAATTTCCATCCAGTGAAGGGCGTGCTTGCAGGCGGGGTGAACCCCATGATCGGCGAGACACAGGGCCACGAAACAGCAACAAGTACAACAGCAAATGCACATGTGCAGCGTTTTTGTTGATCCAATGTTGGATGAGTGGAGGAAGGACCCAGCACCGGTTCAGCCAATACTTGCCAACGATTCTCGAATGCAACCACTGGAGCAGCGTGGGGCGGTGGGAGGGGAGATCATAAGGGTGGACACCGCTGGGGTGGCGCTCTCACCTCGTGCCTCAGCACCTCTCGGCTGCACGTGTCAAGCCGGGCATTCAGAACCTTGGCCACCTTCTCTCCTGCGCACGCAGCACATTCACACACGAGACAAAGATCCCCAGTGTAGCCTCAACCGACTGTTGGGGCGAGTGCTGTTAGCAAACACCCATGAAGGCCGATACAACACACGAGGGGGTGGGTGGCCAACACCACGCCCGGCCGCCTTTGTCTCCCCAGTGGAACTGTTTAGACACCCCACCAGGTCCTCGTTTAAGGCCGAGGCGACCTAGGGGAGGCTCGGAACCGGTTGAGATATTCGTCAGCAATTTTGGCCGCGAGCTGGATTCTTGACGGTGCACGGGGCAGCGAACAACGGGGCGAGGGAAAGGGGGCGACTCGCTGCGTCGTACCGTCCACCTCCTCCACGCCAATCACCCCCTCAGAGAAGCAGCTCTGCAGCTTTAGCGCCAGTGCCCCGACAACAGGCACCAAGAGCCGGATCTCCGGCAGCAGCCGGTAGCTCGCCGTGGCCACGGGGGAGAACTTGGCGTGGTCCCGGCCTGCGGTGTGGGATCGCCAACGGAGAGGTATTCAAAATCACGATTAAGAATCGTGAGCTCGGTATCCGTCACTTCCGTACCCCAGCTGCCACCAGACACCCTCACCCAGACATTCCTTCCTCACTTCCCTTCAAGGTTATGGCAACTCTCTCCTCTACGGCATTCCCGCATCCCTCACCTCACCAGGTCCCTCACCTCACCGCGTCCCTCACCTCTAAACTCAATGTCCAAAATGCTGCTGGTGTCAGGCTCTTCACCTGCATCACCCCAATTTACCAATAATAATATTTTAATGCATTTGAGATCCGTGTAGGTTCTTATTCTTTTTACCGATCTGAGATTGACATACCTAGTTGTGGAAGTAATGCAAAATTTTATAGTCATAGAATATCTACCACCGCCACAACCATCACCACCTATGCTGTAATTTGATAAAATCAGGCAGTCGACAAAATCACTGATCAGTGATATATGGAAGAAAATTGCCTGTACGGCATCTTTGCCAAAGTATGGCAATGTTAAAATGTCTGTTTATATTCACCAATCACAAAACAATTGAGGGTTAATCACCGCATCCATTCCATGGTGGCAAGATGTTATCTACCTCACCTGGTATACAGGAGGTTGTGAGTTCGATCCTGAGCCTGATGCGAGTATCTTTCTAGATTTGAAGTTTTCGTGACTGCAAGGATCCACATTCTTTGATTCTTTCGGTAAAGTCACGTAGGTGAAAATAAAATAAATTTAAAAATGCATTTTTTATTTTTAAAAATATGTAACAATGTATTTTTTCTTTTATTATTTTTTCACCTACGTGACTTTACCGAAAGAACCAAAGAATACTGATGCCAGTATATTTGGAGTTTGCGTGTCTCGCTCCCCGTGGTCGCGTGGATTTTTCTCCGGTTTACTCGGTTTTTCCATCCACATTTAGAAACGTGCGTTTGAAAGTATTTTGGCCGCTATAAATTTCCACGCGATAAGCCACTTTGTTGAGCTATCATTTGTGGCCAGGTTGCTTCTGGTAATAGCTATATAGCTCAGTGGGCGTTACCAGGTAAAATTTTAATATTAAATTAGTTTTTCAGTGCCAAGCGATCCAGAGATCAAGTGATCCCATTGGCCAGTATTGCGTCGTTTGAACCGCCTACTTTTTGCGATTGGCTAATATCTGCACGATCGGCGATTCCGCCACAGTGTGTTTTGATTGTGCTGCAGCGCTCTCGTCTCACCGATGCCCTTGACGCAGTGCACCATGATGTCGATCTCATGCCCCGGCCGCAGCAGAGCGATGAGGATGTCGTCGTTCACGGGCCGGATGGAGCCCTCGGCGTACACGTCCGCCTGGCTTCCCAGCGGCACCCAACGCAAGTGCCGCGAATAGACTGCGGGGGCAGCGTAAGATGAGGACGAAGAGGACGAAGAGGTGGGGGGTGGGGGTGGGTGTTGGGGGGGGGGAGGTCAGATGGGAAAAGATCGTCGTACACGCACGGACATCACAGCACAAGTTCTTCGGTACACAACATCGTGTGCACTATACACACACAGACGAGGCCCAGGATCGGTTTAGATAATCGTCACTGGTGTTGACCGTGAGCGGCAATTGAGTTCGGGTCGCCGGTTCATCGCGCAACGCGCTAACCGCTGCACTACCGCTCCCCACACACGCACACACTTCTCCATCATCCTAGCCGCCCAACCACCTCCGTGGAGGACCTGTTCTCCACACACGCTCTACACAGCCACACACACACACCCGCCGCCCCCACCACCCGTGGAGGCTCCGCCACACCTTTGTGGTTGATGTAGAGCTCGTTGGGGTCGGAGGAGTCTTTGGGAGCCTTGGGGTTCCTGCTGCACTTCACCTTGAGCTGGAACTGCACCGTATCGATGTCCGTACCCTCCTCGTCACCTGTGCAGGCGCCAGCACGGGTGCCCATCATGTGACGGCCAAGCCAACGTTCACACATTGCCGAGTTGCACTTTCGACAAATTCAGTGAAACGCTGAATTTCATGAAATTCGAGAATGTACTTTAATCGACTAATTAAGTTGACTGTGCCATATGTGCATGGTGTGGTGGTACCTGTTAATGCAACTACTACTGCTACTACGCCTATTGCAGCTACTATGAAGACTATAACTATGATTACCACTGCTATTACTAGAACTGCTGCCTTTGCTATTAATACTGCTGCTACAATTATAATCATAGCTGCTACTACTGGTGCTAATATTACTACTGCTACTACGACTGCTGCTATTACTATTGCTACTACTGCTATTGTTACTGCTACTGTAACTACCATTACTAGAACTACGACTACTCTACTACGACTACTGCTGCTACTGCCGCTTGTTACCCGGGTTGCGGAACTCAAAGAGCCGGGGGTCCGCGTGGATGGGGATGAGGCCCAGGCGGTGGGCGAGGATCTCGTCCTGGATGATGGACGTGTTGTTGTAGATGAACACCTTCTCCACCGCCATCGTCGGCACCTGTAGCGGCACGCAGAGGCAATGAGACGCGCTCACTCACACCACCGTATAACCTCAACAGATATTTTGGGGCAAGTGCTGTCAACGAGCACCTATGAAGGCCGGCACGGTACACGAGGGGGTGGGTGGCCAGCAGCACGCCCGAGGGCCTTTGTCTCCCAAGTGACGATGCTTACACATCGCACCAGGTACTAATTTGAGGCCGAGTCGGCCTAGGGAAGGCCCAGGACTGGTTCAGATAATCATAACTGGTGTTGGCCATGAGCGAAAAATCAAACTCGGGTACCTGGTTCATCGTTCAGAGCGTTAATCACTGCGCAACATATTCACACACAAAAAGACCAAGATCCCCCATATAACCTGAACAGACTGTTGGGGCAAGAGATGTTTGCTAGCACCTATGAAGGCCAGCACAGAACACAAGGGGTTGGGTGGCCAGCACCACGCCCAGCTGAATTTGTCTCCCCAGTTGGGATGATTTTACACACCGCACCAGGCCAAGCCAGCCTAAGCGAGGCCTAGGACGACCGAATTTTTGACACTACCGGGACTGTCCCAGCCAATGGGGCGCCATGGTGGCGAAATGTTAACTACCTCGCCTGGTATTCAGGTCATGGGTTCAATCCTGAACATGACGCTTGTATATTTTAAGTTTGCATGTTCTCCCTGTGGTCGAGTGGATTTTTTTATGGGTCTTCTGATTTTTCCCCTCCACATTTGGAATCAAGATCACACGTTCAGAGTTATTTGACTGCTATAAATTTCCAAGCGGTAAGCCACTTGATTGAGCTGTCATTTGTGATAGCCAGGTCGCTTCTGAAAAACAAGCTATACAGCTCAGTGGGCCTTAACTGGTAAAATCAAATAAAAAAAACGTATGGTAGCTTTACTTTGTACAGCAGAGGGGATACCCCCCACCCCCTCTCTACCCCCTTCTTCCCTAGCGGCCTGTGTTCACCGGGAGCGCCCCCAGAAGTGGGTCCCAGATCGCCGGTTGCTCTCTGGAGGAGTCTCTGTGCCCCGCACCTCGGCGAGCAGGATCCTGCGGAAGGCGTTGGCGATGGCCGCGTCGACCCCGACCATGTCGAACTCCATCTCCATGTCCTCCATGCGCACCACGTCGATGCGGAAGTTCTGCGGCAGCGGTTTGTATCAGGGATGTACGGCGAGGCGCGGCCCTTCAACCGCTCGCTCCACTGCAGGCGGAAGGAGCCTCCCACTAGAGGGAGCTCTAGGGGCTACAGCTGGGAGTTTAATTTAGCAAGACGGATGCATGCAAAACTGAATCGCTTATATGTGGCTGTCTAAAACCAGTTGCGAGCAGTTTGAGGAAGCTATATAGAGTCCCCTCTACAGGACATTTTGGCCTACTCTTCCACACTGGCCAGATGTTTTTGGAAGGTGATTAGGGATGTAAACATGGCTTAATTTCAGCTGGATCTGAGATGCGATATCAATAAATTATGGTGATGTTTGGTAGGTTAGTATCAAAGTAACTTGCGTTTTATTTTTTTATGGTGCCATCTCAAAATCCTGTAGAATTTGTAAGGCAGCCAGAACTGGCGCCAACGGTTGCCCAAGCTCTGTGGTCCTATATTTTGATGCTTGGCCAACTCCATTATTGAGCATATACGAGGGAGGAAACCCACAGAATCAAATGATAACCCAATCGTGTAAGGCGGAGTGGGTATCACTCAAATCCTGTACAGATGGAAAACGTGAAAATCATTCCACTCGCTTTTAATGCCATACCCTGCCAAGCCAGGGCTACAAATCGACAAAGCACTCCCCTCTTCGCTCACCTGCTCGAACTTCTCCTGGTTCCACGTGTCATCGTAGCCCGCGTAGTTGCCGGGGAAGTCCGTCGAATGAACCTGCGGTGGAAACGGAGCGACAGGTCCAGAGGTCGTCAAGGGGCCAAGACCATGAGTCAGCAGAGCAGGGTCAGCGGAGCAAGGTCACCGTTTTTGGACTGGGTTCAAGAGTCTACAGCTGAGAGTTTAATTGCATAAATTGGTTGCATCCAAACTGAATCGCTTATACGTGGCTGTCTGAAACCAGTTGCGAGCAGTTGGACAACCAGATGGTTATCACAGTAGACATGCTCGACGTTGAAGTCTATCTGATTTTCAGAAACATTTCATCGCGTGTTAGTCATTTGCCAACGATGATATGTTGTTACAATCCTGAATGTCATTTTTATTTCCTTGTTGCGCAACTATTCGTTCAGATGCAGACAACGCAGTTGCAAGTGATTAAGGTTGAGCAATTTATTTCGGTAATGGATCACTCAGTTGTGGACCTAACTTTAAGGAGTAACAAGGCTAAGCCAAGATTGGGATTTTGAGATTCTAACTAGCAATTAGTACTAACTAATTTTCAAGTACTAACTAGCATTAACATTGGTCACCAAATATTTTTTTTGTATTTTAAATAGAACTTCACATTCGTAAATATCACTGAGGATTTATCAAATGTCAGATGGAGTGATGAGAGCTCAGCTCACGTGTGTGTGTGTGTGTGGGTGCGAGACGCTGGACGGTGCGGGATTGCAATAGGGTGGGGTAGGTCTTCTTCAAGCTGGGAGATCATGGCTCATGATCTTCATGAAAGACAGAGGAGGATCAAAGCAGGGCGTCGCGCCTCCATACATCAATCACCCCCCACATCTCGTAACATCATCCCAGATTCCAAAGTCCAGTCTGCATTGACTGCGGCTACCAGCATGTATTCACTGTATGTTGAACTTCTTTCGCGCCGTACGTAGGCAACCCTGCTAATCGGATGTGCGGGAAAGCATCAGTGCGAGACGACAATTTAAAGATAAATTGAGATAAAGCGCGAGATAGCTTCGACACACAGAGATAATCGGGGATAATCACAAGGGATCTCATTCCCAATGGCCCCAACCAGAAACCTTCACTACCACCATTACCTCCACCACATCTTTCACCTCTTCCACCACCACCTCCAACAACAACAACAAAAATGCACCACCATCATCCACCTCCCCATTACTAATACCATCTACACCATCACCTCCACGGCACCACATCTTCCACTACCCAACCACACACACCATCACCAACATCCACCACCATCACATACTACATCATCATGACCACCACTTCATTCACCACCACCATCACGTACACCACCTAAACCAACACAGAGACAGCTCTTATTCTTAGTTTTTTTCGGTAAAGTCACGTTGAAGAGAAACAACAAAATAATAAAATATATATAAAACAATAAAAAAATTCTCACGACGTTTCGACCATAACTCAAACGGTCATCTTCAGGTGTGTTGGTTTGCATAAATTTATTTTTAATAAAGCCTTAACAGAATGTTTGGGCAAGTGGCGTTAGCGAGCACCTATGATGGCTGGCACAGTACACGAGGGTGGTGGATGGCCAGCACAACCATCACGTCCACCAACACCATCACCACCACCACATCGTCCACCATTCCGCGGTGTTGAGACTCGACTAAAAGACTCACGTTGGTCACGCCGTGTTCGCTGAGGAGGACTCGGTCGCGCATCTCCGCCACCCTATCGGCCGTGGTCGCCATGCCTCCGGGACCCCGGAAAACTCGAGACCGTCGTGGCTCCGCGAGGGGACTGCGGCCGTAGGGCGGCCAGGCGATGCCGAGGCTCTCGGCGCGGCCTCGCGGGATTGGAATTGGTCGCGCAGACGCGCTACGGGCGTGCCGGAGCCACGTGCGCGCGATCCTCCACGTGCTCGGTCTAATGCGTGCTATGAAATGTAATGGGGTTTGGAGGGTCGTAATCGTAAATCTAGCATCTGGTGGTGGTGGAGAGCGCTCCTGCTCCAGCTGGGGATAGGGCAGAGGTTTTTACCTCTAGACTGAACAGAGGGTTGACTTAATCAAGAATACGGTAATACTAAATAATCATTCGGGTCGTGTCGATAATATCTAATAATAATTTTCATATCTATCCGTATCATATTTATCCTATCTATGTCTCTCCATGTAGAGATTATTTACACATCACATCAGCCATGCCTCTTTGTGGGAACAAAGCTATCTGTATAAAACCATACAGGGAAATCCTCTACTTACGAACACTCGACTTACGAACTCAGAGATACGAACGAACCAGGTCCGCATGTCCAGTTGCCTGTTCAGACCGACAGTCGTAAGTTCAATCGCCGCGCAATAGATGGAGGTAGTGGCATCTACATCTGCAGAACACGAAGAACCAGTGGCATCTACATCTGCAGAACATGAAGAACCAGTGGCATTTACATCTGCAGAACATGAAGAACCAGTGACATCTACATCTGCAGAACATGAAGAACCAGTGGCATCTACATCTGCAGAACATGAAGAACCAGTGATATCTACATCTGCAGAACATGAAGAACCAGTGGCATCTACAGAACATGAAGAACCAGTGGCATTTACATCTGCAGAACATGAAGAACCAGTGACATCTACATCTGCAGAACATGAAGAACCAGTGGCATCTACATCTGCAGAACATGAAGAACCAGTGAAATCTACATCTGCAGAACATGAAGAACCAGTGGCATCTACAGAACATGAAGAACCAGTGGCATCTACATCTGCAGAACATGAAGAACCAGTGGCATTTACATCTGCAGAACATGAAGAACCAGTGGCATCTACATCTGCAGAACATGAAGACCCAGTGGCATCTACATCTGCAGAACATGAAGAACCAGTGGCATCTACATCTGCAGAACATGAAGAACCAGTGATATCTACATCTGCAGAACATGAAGAACCAGTGGCAACTACAGAACATGAAGAACCAGTGGCATCTACATCTTCAGAATATGAAGAACCAGTGGCATCTACATCTGCAAAACACGAATAACCAGTGGCATCTACATGAGATGATACAACTTTTGAAGCCATCCCCCGTGTTTAGTGTACATGCCGTACGTGTTTGGAATCGACAGTAGTAAAGTTGGACTTACGAACAAATCGACTTACGAACAGTCCTCTGGAACCTAACTCGTTCGTAAGTAGAGAAGTGCCTGTACTTTGTTTTGTATGTGGAGGGATAGATCAGTGAAGGAGACGAATTTAATGATTATTTGTTTTGTCTCTTAGTGGGAAAATCATTGTAACGTCTTGATAAGTAAACACAAAACTCAACACATCAATCAATAACACCGCGTGGCCTGATACAATAAAAAATATATAATTGGCGACGTTTCGGCCAATGGCCCTTCTTCATATAAATGTCCCTCTAAATAAATAAGCATTTCAGATTGGAGTATATTAGACAGAACTGGGGGGAGGCGATGGCCTCTTTAAAATCAGTTAATACCTCATTGGGCTTTACCTGGTATGATACAAAAACATTAAATTTGTTTAGTTTTATTCGTATATGTTGAAGTGATTTTGTTTACCTTCCCAATACTTTGCACTTCCGTCCGTGCTTTGTTGCATGTTGTTGTTGTAACGATTTGTCGCACGCCCCGACTCGACATCTGTGAAACAGCGTTGTAGCTCATCGGATTCCTCCGGTGTCAATACATATTCTGATCTATGGGGTCGTCCATAAATGACGTCACGCACCTAGGGGGGGGGGTCAGACATTTGTGACGATATGTGATGAGGAGGGGGGGTTTGAGAAATGTGACGTCACATCAAAATGCACAACTTTAAATAAATATAGACAACACGTTCTATACTCTTTGGTTCTATTCGGTAAAGTAACGTAGGTAAAAAATAAAACAACACGTTCTACTTAATTAAATACACTGTTTAATGTTTTCTCCTACAACATCAGAGTGCAACGGCACATTAAATACGCACTATAATGAAAATAGTTTAAAGCGATTTGAAGCATGTTTTATTTTCAAAATGGAAATATGGTTTTGGGGGGGGCGGGGCAGAGCTTTGTGACGTCATATTTGAGGGGGGGGGGTGACTTTTTGTGACGCCGTGTGACGAAGGGGGGGGGGGTCAAAATTCGTCCAAAATCGCGTGACATGATTTATGGACGGCCCCTATATATGAAAGGGACACCTTTCCAGGTGAGAGGTGGGAGGGGGTTTCTTTTCCTCTCTCTCCTCTCGTCGACACGGAGACACGTGGTGCATTGCGCCTTGTGAGGCAGTGGAGGGCAGTGCATCAAAATCAATCATTTTGGTCTTTCCGAGCCAAAACCAACCCTGAAGGGTGGTCAACGCACGCCACGTGGGAAGGCTGTCCTCATCCAGCAGTGGATTAGCGTAAGCGGCCCGTGAATGTATACTGCATTCAAATATGGAGGTAATACGTGAAGGTTTGAACCCCCCCCAAAAAAACCTTTGATCTAACACCGCTGATGTGCACGTATGAAGGTAAAAAAAACTCTAATCTGGCAAGGCACCCGGCGAGTGACGTCGGCTGGTGACGCAGGGTCCCTTGAGACCCGTGACGTCACGGCGTTCTCCTTCACCCCCGCCCCCTCTTTCCCGGTTCCCCCCCGCCCTGCCCCGCCCCTCACTTCCCCCCCGCCCCTCACTTCCCCCTCCCCCCTCCCTTTGCCTGGGGACTCCAACCCACAGAGCCATTCAAACGTGCGCCCACATAGACACGCCGAGCGGGGGAGGAGAGACAAAGGCGGAAGGGTTTAGGTTTTACTGTGGCGCTCGGATCCAGACTGACTCATCATCAACATCATCCAACCAACCGAACAACATCACCACCACCATCATCATCACTACCAACCAGCATAACCATCTCGACCGTCCAACCGAAAACATAATCGTCACCACCATCCGACTATACGACATCATCATCATCATCAAACCAACATCATCGTCATTATTCAAACCAAACAACATCATCATCCGTCCGACCAACATCGCCACCCCCGAAGCCTTGAAGGGTGAGTTCGTCACCAAAGCTGGTTTTGTATATTCGCGTGTCTGTTAATAGGTGCTCGCTAGCAGCACTTGCCCCAAAAGTCTCCAAGACTATACGGGGGATCTGTGTGTTACGTGTGTAACGTGTACGTATGTGCTGAGCGGTGGCACAGTGGTTAGCGCGCTGCGACTCGAGTTCGAACTTCGACCGTGTCTTACATAAGTGGCGAGTGATATCCGAATATGTCCTGGAACCTCTCTAGGTCGACTCGACCTTAATTGTGTAACTGGTGCGCTGTGAAAACATAAGAACCGGGGGAGACAAAGGCGGCCGGGCGTGAGCCGAGCCTCACCACCTTCTCGTGCGCTGTGCCGACCTTCATAGGTGCTCTCTAACAGCACTTGCCCCAGCAGTATGTGTAGGCTACACGGGGGACCTTTGTCTGTGTACGTGTCTACCATGTATAAAGACTGGGGGACTAGTTTGTGTGTTGGTTGTATGTGTACATACGTGTGTCTGTCTGTGTACGTCTGTATGTTTGTGTGGGGGAGCGGTTAGCGCGCTGCGCTACGGACCCGGCGAACCGGTGACGATTCTCGTTGACGGCCAACACCGGTGACGACTATCTGAACCGGTCCTGGGCCTCCCCTAGGTCGACTCAGCCCCGAATGAGTACTCCGTGCGATGTAGAAACATCGCCACTAGGCCGGGCGTGGTGCTGGCTACCCCACCCCCCTCTTGTCCCGTGCCGACCATCATAGGTGCTCGCGAACAGCACTTGCCCTAAAAGTATGTTAAGGCTACACGGGGGATCTTTGACTTTTGTATGTCTGGGGTGTCTTGTCTCGGAGTTTTGTCGGACAATTTTTGCTGTGGCGTCAAATTCCGATTACATTTTTAATCTTAGAATTTAAATTTTGATATCATTTGTCGTGGTTTGAAGTCTTCGGTGTTGGTAATTTTCAGCTTATAGGGGGTGCTGTTTGTATGACTGCAGCTGCATAAAAGTTGACTACAGCGTTATCATGCGTGTGTGTACATCTGTGTGTGTGTTACTGTCTGTATCTTTTTGTGTTTGTGTATATATTTGTGTGTATATGAATTATGCTTATTTACCCCTAGGAGGGCATCACTGAGTTCTCATGGTTGGGTTTTTTTTTTTCAGAAAGGGTACCCACCAACTTCGTAGCGGTAGGGGGACGATGATTTGTCAGCACTTTACATCCCAATTGAGTCATTTGCGGGTAACTATTAAAATTTGGACCGTGGGCCACTCTTGCCACCGACGTCACGGGATATATATTGTTTGGGTTGTCATAGCCGCAGTATTAACCAGAGCGGCCGCTGGAATCCAACCGCGAGCCTCAAGCCCGCCCTTGGTTGGGGCCCCTTTAATGGGGTGGAGTGGTGGCGTTGTGGTTAGCGCACTGCGCTAGGAACTCCCCCCGCTGCGCTCTGGGTTTGATTGCCCCTCGTGGCGAACGTCAGTGGCGAGCGATATCTAAATTGCCCTGGGCCCTCCACCTAGGTCGGTTCAGTTTTAAATCAATAATTGATGCGAAATTTGGAGACAAAGGCGGCCTGGCTTAGTGCTGGACAAACCACCCCTCGTGTGCCGTGCCGGCCTTAATAGGTGCTCGGTAATAGCACTTGCCCCAAAAGTCTGTTATGTCTATACGGGGGATCTTTGCCTTTGTATGGAGCGGTGGCGCAGTGGTTAACGCACCGCGCTACGAACTCGACGGCCTGACATCGTTTTCTGCTCATAACAGTGGCGACTATAAGAACCGATCCTGGGCCCTCCTTAGGTCGACTCAGCCTTAAATGTGTATGTGCTCGCTCACGTGTGTGTGTGCCTACAGCTGTGTGTGGAGCGGTGTTCTCTGTTCCTCTTTGTACGTCTTGTACTCGGGTTCACGCGGTGCTCCGTAATCCCCCATTCACTTCGTGGCAACGTTGGTCTGTGTCCACAGCGTTGCACTGCGTGTTGAAGGGGGGGGGGGGGGTGGGGAGGAGTGGTGGCGCAGTGGTTCGCACTGCACTGCGTAACGAATTCGATTCTCCCATTCACAACCAACATCGATGACGATTTTCTGAACCGGTTATGGGGCCTGCCCTAACGGCGTCTCGGCACTTAAATTAGTAACCGGTGCGGTGTGTAAACATCAGCACTGGGGAGACAAAGGCGGCCGGTTGTGATTCTGCCCCCCCCCCCTTCACAGGTGTGCCGTGCTCTCCTTAACAAGTTCTCGCTAACAGCACTTGCCCCAAGCCTGTTGCAGGCTATACGGGTGGCCTTTGTCTCTTGTATGTACTGTACTGTACCACGTGAGTGTCAGTCTCGCAAAGGTCACTCTTGCGAATGAGACTAACCCGGTGTCTTAAGAGTTCTCAACCGGTTAGACAAATTAAACTTGGCTACTAGTAACCGCTAAGAGAGGCATATCTGCTTTTAACAGCATTCGCGTCACACTCAACACCGGCCCACCAATTCACCCACGACTAGAAGAGCCCAGACATCCCAATGTAGCAGTGCCCTCCTGAACAAAGATTATTGATAATTTCCTCGGTAAAGATTTGCCATTGTTGTAAGTCTGATCGCGCAATGTACAATATTGTACATATGCATATATAGGGCTGGTGGGGTGGTGGTGCAGCAGTTAGCGCTATAAACCACGGCTCCCATCAGTAGCGAGTGGTATCAGAACATGTTATGGGCCCCAATTCCCACCGCCACCATTCACACACCTTCACTAACCAGCAGCGACCAGCATGGTGAAGTATGGTAAAATATCCTCCCCCTGATCGGCATGGCAAAAGGTCTTCATCCAGCAGTGGATAGACCAAGGGTTATGGCAATACATTGACGTTTGTAGGTAAAATGCGGCCGTCATACGAATGTGGAATTTCTATCACTGGCTAAGGGCCACAATTGTGAATGATAACCAAGTCATGTTTACATGAGGAGGAATATGCACTGAATTCATTATATAAATGCAAATTACAATGTACTGTGATTATAATCTATAATCTGCAGCCCTTTGCTAGTCCACTGCTGGATGAAGGCCTCCCAAAGGCGTCGCTGGGGTTGTTAGACCATACTTCACCACGCTGGTCGTGTGAAGGGGCTGCCTGAGACCGGTTGAGACACCTCTCGCCACTGATGCTAGCCGTGGTCGGGAGTCCCACTCCCAGTCGCCGTGTTGGTACGGTGGTGCGCTAACCACTGCGCCATCACCACCCTACGCAGCTGTGGATATATGCAGCACGCAATGTCGAACATTTATTTATACACAATTGGATTTTAAAATAGTCAAAAGGGTGCTACGATATCTCAAAGACACCCATTGTCCTACGTCCACTGCTGGATGAATGCATCCCCAAGTGGTCACCATCCCTCACGTTCCTGCGATGCCACAATCCATCACGCTCCTGTGCACGAGCCAGCTGATTTAATCGCTCCATCTCCACGGTGCACGTAAAAAATTAGCAACGGGGAGACAAAGGCGGCTGGGGGGGGAGTTCTGACCACACCCCAGCCCCTCCTCACGCACCTTTGTCACCTTAATAGGTGCTCGCTAACAGCACTTGCCCCAAAAGTCTGTGTAGGCTACACGGGAGATCTTTGTCTGTGTATTGACTCTGCTGACCTCCTCTCTGCTGTCTGCTCACTCTCCCATCTGCTCGTCTCTTTGCTCAGTTGCTCGGAATGGGGTGGTGGGGGGGGGCGATTGGGTTTGACACCGAGGCTGGCAGCTGCTCCCCAAAGGAGACCTGGTCCCTAAGAAGAGACCTGGTCTCTGAATAGCAATCGTGGTTTCCGAATGTGCTCTCTTTTCCGCATTTGTGCAGCTCTACAGTTCTCTGTATGTGTGTTTGAATGATACCGCGTTGTGTCGACGTTTGGTGTCACGTCCCGGAAAACGGTATTGATTCAGCTCCTGAAGAAGCGCACAGCACGCACAGCGCAGCGTCTCACATCGTGCCAAAAAAAAACCCACGCGGTACGACCCGAAAGCAAGTCGGGAGAGCTGGGGTTGGTTCCAGGGAGAGTTGAGTTGTTGGAACCCAGTAAACGCCAACGTCGTGTGGCCAAGGGAAGCATTACCAAATCCTACCTGCAACACTGCGTTAGTCTGTGGGCCCTGTGTTAGCCTGTGGCCCCTATGTACAGTGAGGGAAAAAAGTATTTGATCCCCTGCTGATTTTGTACGTTTGCCCACTGACAAAGAAATGATCAGTCTATAATTTTAATGGTAGGTTTATTTGATCAGTGAGAGACAGAATAACAACAAAATCCAGAAAAACGCATGTCAAAAATGTTAGAAATTGATTTGCATTTTAATGAGGGAAATAAGTATTTGACCCCTCTGCAAAACATGACTTAGTACTTGGTGGCAAAACCCTTGTTGGCAATCACAGAGGGCAGACGTTTCTTGTAGTTGGCCACCAGGTTTGCACACATCTCAGGAGGAATTTGTCCCACTCTTTGCAGATCTTCTCCAAGTCATTAAGGTTTCGAGGCTGACATTTGGCAACTCGAACCTTCAGCTCCCTCCACAGATTTTCTATGGGATTAAGGTCTGGAGACAGGCTAGGCCACCTTAATGTGCTTCTTCTTGAGCCACTCCTTTGTTGCCTTGAACGTGTTTTGGGTCATTGTCATGCTGGAATACCCATCCACGACCCATTTTCAATGCCCTGGCTGAGGGAAAGAGGTTCTCACCCAAGATTTGCCGATACATGGCCCCGTCCATCGTCCCTTTGATGCGGTGAAGTTGTCCTGTCCCCTTAGCAGAAAAACACCCTCAAAGCATGTTTCCACCTCCATGTTTGACGGTGGGGATGGTGTTCTTGGGGTCATAGGCAGCATTCCTCCTCCTCCAAACACGGCGAGTTGAGTTGATGCCAAAGAGCTCCATTTTGGTCTCATCTGACCACAACACTTTCACCCAGTTGTCCTCTGAATCATTCAGATGTTCATTGGCAAACTTCAGATGGGCATGTATATGTGCTTTCTTGAGCAGGGAGACCTTGCAGGCGCTGCAGGATTTCAGTCCTTCACGGCGTGTTACAAATTGTTTTATTGGCGACTATGGTCCCAGCTACCTTGAGATCATTGACAAGATCCTCCCGTGTAGTTCTCGGCTGATTCCTCACGGTTCTCATGATCATTGCAACTCCACGAGGTGAGATCTTGCATGGAGCCCCAGGCCGAGGGAGATTGACAGTTCTTTTGTGTTTCTTCCATTAGCTTCTCACCAAGCTGCTTGGCAATGGTCTTGTAGCCCATTCCAGCCTTGTGTAGGTCTACAATCTTGTCCCTGACATCCTTGGAGAGCTCTTTGGTCTTGGCCATGGTGGAGAGTTTGGAATCTGATTGATTGCTTCTGTGTACAGGTGTCTTTTATACAGGTAATAAGCTGAGATTAGGAGCACTCCCTTTAAGAGTGTGCTCCTAATCTCAGCTCGTTACCTGTATAAAAGACACCTGGGAGCCAGAAATCTTTCTGATTGAGAGGGGGTCAAATACTTATTTCCCTCATTAAAATGCAAATCAATTTATAACATTTTTGACATGCGTTTTTCTGGATTTTGTTGTTATTCTGTCTCACTGTTCAAATAAACCTACCATTAAAATTATAGACTGATCATTTATTTATCAGTGGGCAAACGTACAAAATCAGCAGAGGATCAAATACTTTTTTTCCCTCACTGTAAGTCTATGGGTTATGTTAGGCTATGGGACCTATGTCAGTCTGAGCTCTATGTTAATGGGCCCGATTTCAGTCTTTGTGCTCTGTTAGTCTATTTTATCCAAACACAAATCCTGTCTCTAAAGCCCATCCTAACACTCACCTCTATACCTAACCCAGTCCCTAATATGGCAAAAATAATGTCCATTATTTATCCAGAACACCCTCACTGAGTCTCAAGACTTTTTTTTAGGAGGGTTGATATTTGGACCTGAATTCCATCAGTGATGAGAGTTTGACTTCGCGTGGGAGAGAAACTGGAGAACCCAGGGGAAAAGAAAACCAAATGCGCCGTATACAAGGTGGTGACCAAGTTCCGCACAAATAGATTCGATAATTAATTGCTGTACGTGTATATAATGCGTGTGTGTGATGTTCACGGTTCACCAACACTTCACTCCAGCGCTCATCTCTCTTGACCGGCTGTTCGACTTCTCCGCGTTGTAGCCGTGGGCGATAACTAAAACGCCCGGTGACGACCAGCCGATGAGTGACGCATGCACCGCTCACCCGGACGAGCCGTCTCCGGTGAATGAACGCGTGCGCACATACACGTACCGCATGTAACAGCGGCGGCCTTCATGCAGCAGTGGATGGAAAATAGCTGCTGATGATAGTGATATGGCAGTCATGGGTGTCAATGAGCGCTGGACACATTTGTCAAGAATGCTGCAGTCTTAAAATAATTTTAAAAACCGATGTAAGTGACGTTTTGGGCAAATAGGCAATCTTCAAAAAAGACTTAAAATTAGGATTTACTGGCCCCGGCCAAGATAATGTGGAATTTCGAGCATCATCCGACTCAATGAAAATGTTCTGTGCCCATTTCTCGCTAGGCAGACCACTTTTGAGTGTGATGTTCTTATTAAAATCATCATCAGCCGTGCTCAATCCAGTGCTGGATAAAGGCCTCCACAAGGCAGCATCATCTCTTGCGATCCCGCGATGTAATGATCCACACGAGCGGATTTCATCGCTCCTTCTCTTTTACGGACTTCCTCTAGGATGAATTCCACTGGTTGGCTGCCACTCGGTCATTATTCTTGACAATGACGGAACCTATGTTTGTAAATATACAAAAAAGTGGCCAAACTTCGCAGGGCAGGACTCTCCTGAAAATGAGTCTTGAAACTTAGAGCAGCACACTTCACGACTGCTTGTTCTGTTTGATTGACTCAAGGTGGACTATAGTCAGTAATTAATAATCAAAAATTATTATTTATAGTTATAATCTCATAGCTGTGATTGTCTCAGTTTCTGCGATTATTACTGTACTGATCTCATAACTAATTCGTAGCAGTAATTCATTTATAGCTATGATCTTCTCAAAGCTGTAATGTTATAACTCATTCATTCAAAGCTGTAATAATCTCACAGCTGTAATCTCATAACTTAAAAAACGAAGCAGTTCCAATCTCATATCTGCCACATTCACATTTCTGTAATTATCATAGCTGTTGTGACCTCATAGTTGTCATCTCATCGCTATGATCGCATAGCTGTTGTGATGGCATAGCTGTTGTGATCTCATATTTGTAATGATCTTAGCTATTGTGATCTCATCGCTATGATCGCATAGCAGTTGTGATCTCATCTCTATAATCTTAGCTGTTGTGATCTATCTGTAATGATCTCACAGCTATTGTGATCTCATAGCTATTATCTCATCCGTCATTGCCTCATATCTTTAATGATCGCATAGCTGCCACAACCCCACAGCCCTGACCACTATCACCACCACCTTAGCTGTGCTGTGGACAACTCGGCTATGAGCCCAGCTCCACTTCTACTACAGCCGCACACTTCCTTCCGTCGCCAGCTGTAGCACATTACTCGCGGCTGTCGGGCAGGGGCCCGGGAGTGGGGGGGGCCCGCTTCTGCTGCTGCTCCTATAGCTGAGTCAGCCAAACAAGTGGAGAAGACTTCTTTGTGCTGTGGACTTTAGTTTATCGTTGTTGTTTTGCGTGGTTGTTGTTCTGTTTGTTGTTGTGGTTCTATGGTTTTGTGTCTCGCTTGTTTTCGAGTGGATCTGCCAATAGCCATCTCGTTTCACAAGAAGAAAAATAAACCGGTCGAGTGAAACTGATTTGACTCAGGACTCAGACTGACAAAGGAGACGCGAAAACTGTTATTTTATTGATATTTCGAAGAGAAAATACATTTCATGTTTTTTTTTTACAAATATTATTTATGTAGTTATCTATTTATGAAGCTTGAACTTTTGGGGCCTTGTGAAAGCTCACTTCCATTGGGTACTCATTGTAAATGTGCACCTGGTTGACAATCTACTCTTCCTTGGGTACACCTTGTGAAAACCCACCCCACGTTGGGGACACAATGTGAAAGTGCACTTAATCAGTGTGTAGTGTATATTCTATTGCAAACACCTTCAAAAAGCTTACTTCCACTGGGTACATCAAATAAATGTGCAGGAAAGATGTAGTGTCTACTATTCCATTGGGTACCCTTTGTGAAATCTCACCCCTATTGGGTGCCCTTTGTGAAATCTAACCCCTTTTGGGTACCATTTATGAAATCTAACCCCTAGAAGGTAGTGTGAAATCTCACCTTGACTGGGTACAGCTTGTTAAAGTTAATTTCAAGTACACTTTTATTTAACGTGTATTATTACATTGGGTACACCTTGTAAGATCCCACCCCGATTGGGTACAGCATGTGAAAGTGCATTGAAGCAGAGTGTACAGTCTGTGCCTCTCCCTGCCGTGACCCCAGCATCGCTTTCCCGCGCATGAGCCCGCTTCGCCTGTCCGCCCGCCCGCCCGCCCGCCGTCTCGTTCTCCCACTCTTTCCATCGCCGCGCGAGCCGGGGGCTCACATACCCGCACGTAGGCCGCCCAATTGACTTCTCTCCTGCTTTTTCAAAATAGTCTCTCCCTCTTTCTCCCTTCTCAAGTCAGATTTCACCCTGCGCTTCTGAGACACCCTACCCAGACTGACAGGCAACTTCGACGCGAGATTTTCGGCCGGCCGGCCGGCTCATTGGTGGCTGGTACAGCAAGTAGGTTTATGCATCTGCGTGGCTGGATTGACGCAAAATGCGCACATGGATTATGTCAGCATCCTTCCTGCTTGCTATACTGCCTCGACAGAGTACCACAAGCTTATTGCCGCACAGATGGAAGTGTTTTGTACGATTGTAACGATTCGACTCTCTTAGATATTTGATGATTAAACCACGATTTGGATTAAGTCATAATTTGACGACTTTACATCAGTATTATGATGCGTCAAAAATCCATAGAGGAGGAGGAGGCCAGAAGGCTCAGCGGTCCGAGACACTAAACTTGCACCGTTGAGATGCTGAACTCGAATCCGGATTTTAGCCGTGCAACCACAGTGTTTCTACCGTGGTTCTCAAGTGTAGCACGCTGATTATGGTCTTGGTCCAATCATCAACAACTGCACTGAACATTGTGTTAAATTCGGTTTTACTCTTCCAGCTGTGAAGATTAAAATAACCGTTTGACATGCAATAATAGCAGTGTGTAGCAAATTGCGTCCTCTACTGTGTAAAGGATGAGAAAGCCACTTGTCCTCTATGCCACAGCCAGAAGCGCTTCCCCCTAATGTGAGCAGGAGTGGTTACTTGAGAGGGTTTTCAGAGTAGTTCTGTAGTATCCACCTCCACAGGCTATTTCTTCAACACGAAGCGTTTCACTGCTGTGCGCGAGTTCCGACTGAATTCTTCGTCGTGACATTCTGCCGATAGCACAACTTTGATACGATGGGGGGGGGGGGGGGTGTGCGGGAGAAATGATTTTGTTTAATTTTTACTTAACAGCGTTCGTCCTGTCCCCCACCATCTCCTCCCACAGTCGTCCGTTCACCCCTTGATGCCTTGCGGCCGGGCCTTCAAGCGCAAGCTGTGCCGCCACGATGACGAACAGGAAGAGGAGGACGACGCCGACGACGGGAGCCCCATCGACAAATGTCGCCGGCGCTCCGAGTCAAACGGCATCGACCGGGAGTGGTGCCCATTCGACGCACCAGACCCTCGGGCCCTTACGGACCTGCCGGAATTTGAGGACGACGCCGTGACTGCAAAGATGGCGCCAATTCTGGCACCTTGGTGGGACGGCGTGAGCGACCACGACGCGAGCGAGCGCATCGCGCTCCGAGCCTCGGTGCTGGCGCTCTCTCTGGGGAAGCTGCGTGCGTGTCGCCAGGCCGCCGAGCCCTGCCTGCGTCGCTCCGTGCTCATCGCCAACACCCTGCGGGTCGTGCATGCCGCGCCGGGTTGCGGCGTCGACGACGACCCCGAGGACCAGCGATCGGAACGGGCGGCTCACCCCGATCCGGAGCTGGAGCCGCTACCGTTCCGCTCCCTCACGCCGCCGCTAACGCCGTCGTCCGTGCTGGAGGCGAGCGGCGAGGCCCTGGGAGGGTTCGGCGTGACAGCGCCGCTCTTGGACTTCGCGGACGGCAGTTGCTGTGCCACCCCGGCAAATCCCGACTGTGCCGGCGAAAGCACCGGCATTGTCCTTGCCTCTTCTTCGCCGCCAGGCCCGTGTCTCACCGCGCTGCTGCCAGCCGCCGCTTGGGGCCCTCGGGTTGCGCCGACGGCCACCGCCTGGGCAGAGGGGCATCGGCCTCACGACAGTGGCGTCGGCAGCGGCGCTCGGCTGTCTGGCGTCGAGCTTATGGCGGCTGCGGCCGCAGCGATGGTGACGGAGCCGTCGGGCTTCCTGTGCGACCTCTCGCTGGATGGAGCCTTCTCGGACATCGACACGTCCATGTACGACTTTGACCCGTTCTCGCCGGCTGCGGCCGCGCTGCACCTGCAGGGAGGCGGCGACTGCGCCAAGCCCGCAGTGGCGGTGGCAGCGCCGGCAGAAGGGACGATGGGGGACGGGGGCGGTGTGGGAGCGGCGGCGGTGGCAGCGTCTGGCAAGCAAGACCTTAACGAGCTAGACCAGATCATGCAGGTGCTGGTGGGCACGTGAGCGGCGCGCTGCCGTCGTTCGTTGCCGCCACCCTTGCTTAAATGTAATTGTACAGCCCCTTTGTCAATCCACTGCTGGACGAAGGCCTCCCCCCCTCCAAGCCGCGTCAGTCACGTGAGAATTGTCCGACGGAAGCTTTTCAGCCGATCGACCGCACGTCACTGGGGGCCCACGTTGGTGGACGATGTTAGCGGTGGGCAGAAAAAAATTGAACTCGATCACCGGGTTTGTGGCCACGGTGCACTTGTCACTGCGCCACCGTAGCAGCACGATTACCGTCGTCTTCATCATCATCGTTGGGAGCGACGTAATATGATTTTCCTTGTCATTTGCACCTCCAATTAGCCCGGTTGGCTACGTACGGTGCGAAAGAAGTTTAACGTATACCTACAAGTCATTAGCAGCGTCATCATATGAACGCCGTCGCAATCGTCAGGGTCAGCAATGTCATCACGAGTTCAGTCTACAACGCGGTAATGTCGCCTATGAACAAATCACCTCGTGTGTGTCCGATCTAGGAAGCTAAGCAAGGTTGTGCCTTGTTATTACTTTGATGGGAGAGTGACTAGGATAACCAGGTGTTCCAGGCTTGGGCTGCCAGATGGCATGAATCTATCTGTACGGAGCTTTGAGCATTATGTCCTTGCTTCACACGAACAACGCTCATTCATGGTATTAGCCAAACGTCCCAACGTAGCAGGACCCTCTAGAAAGCGTCTCTCAACTCTGGATTTTATGGAAAATGGGCATTGCTATTATTATAGCATGTCATCAGTAAAATCCTTACCACTGTTAGCTACGTAACGATCACCAACATTGTAATCATAATTATCAACATCATCATCACCACATCATGTCTGGCATTGGATGGCTACATCGCCTAGCAGTAGCATGTGCGCTGCTTGTTGCAATCGTTCACAGTTTGAATCCAGCGGCCTTCCTGGTTATTACTGCGGTGCGCAATAACCGCAATTATACCACGCGCTGTCTGCTTCGCCGTGGCCGTTACGGATTCCCCGTGATGTCAGTCGCACGAGTAGGCCATTATGTGCCGACGTTAGGGGTCGAAATTTGGCAAATTCGAAAATTGCACCACATTACGCTCAATTGGGACTATACATAGAAGCAATCATCACCACCTATTGGTAGCAGACTAATGCCCAAGGTGACTCTTGCACATGACTCATCCTGGTCTCTTGAGTTCACCTTGAAGTGATCATCACGATAATCATCAATGCCATTATCATTGTAAGAACATCGCCATCATTACCACCAGCCATCATCGCAATTGTCACCATGAACGGAATCACAACACACAATTTGGATTTTCAAAAATATTTAAATGTGACCTTATCTCAGGATGCTAAACAAATATACGCCACACTTCAACGACGCTATTTTAACATCAACACAAGTGTCATCATCATCGTCATCATCCCGTACCCATGTGGACTACTATTTTATGCTAACGTCTGGCAAACTACAGACTGGTGAAACCCAGAACACCGCTTGTGTTCAATGAATTATGCATTCGCGTTTTTAACTTAATAGCGGTCGTTTTTATTCGACGCAAGATTTATACGACACTACACACCGTACATGTGTATGTGTACTCTTACTCTCGCATAATCACACAGATAGACAGGAAGAGGAACACGCATGGAATAGGAGAGAACAAACACAAATCGGTGACATTAACCTTGACAGGTAAGAAAAGCGTCAGCTTGGGCAGGAGACGTCGTGGCTAAATGGGATGATGACGACAATGACCGATGGATGAGACTGGTGACGGAATGGCAGCCAAAGGAGGGAGCGCACCTGAGCAGACGACTACTGCAGATATTCCATCGCCACTCGTGATCAACAAAGACAGACGATCCCCCGTATTTGGCAATTTAGAAAATGACACCTCAAATGATCCTCAATGGGACTACACATAGCAATCGTCACCCGCGAGACTCGCATTTTTTAATAGGCTGTTGGGGCGAATGCTCCATCACACGCTTGCACGCGAGTCAATTTCATCGCTCCACCTCCGCGATGGGAGTCCTCTTCTGCTCCTTTAGCTGCCATTCCATCACCAGTCTTGTCCATCAGCTAGCGTCCCTGGTAGCGATGATGTGTCCTGCCCAACCAAGACAACACGAGGTCTCCACCCTGCATTGTCCCCCAAGTGACGCGTTCCTCTTCCTACTTCCGTATGTTTCCGAGCATGGCCTTCCTCTCCACGCTTCTTTGCACATTTTTGTTCAACTTTTAGTCCTTGTTAATTGTCAGGGTCCATGTTTCTGGTCCAGCTCGTAGCAGTCCATATGACATCCCATATCATATGCGTATATATGTACGTTCACACGCACATATACAAACACGTATAGAAGATGCACACGTGTTAATGTGTACAGTATTATGTAAGCGTGCATGCACTTGCACACAAACTTATATTGTATCTTTATGTTAATGTATGTGCTCACACATACACGTTACACATGTATGTCTACACACACTTATTATGTATGTGTGAATACACAACATGCTATATACGAGGATTAACTTCTCATTAACTGGCCCAGGTGGCTCAGTAGCAAAGCGAGCAGTCCGCAGTCGAAATGTTCTGAGTTCATATCCTGGTTAGGGGTTGAATCAGCCCATCGTCCTACTCTCTCCGGTGGTCAATAAAATGAGAAATGTATAGGGAAATCAATAGCGGTTGTCCTATGGATTGACTCAACCCTGCCTAAGAAATGGGACATTTCCACCTCTGGCTCTGCAGGGCTGTAAAATGGGAGATGAGGACCGACGCCTCTCTGCTGATTTGAGCATAATATCTCTTTTAAGACTTTTAATATCTCGCCGATTATTATCCAGGTAAGGCTGCTAAACTGGGGCGTTAAACTGGGATGGAAGCAAAGCACGTTAATTACAGAAATATCTCTATGCATAATAACGACTCCAACGCAACCTGCGAGATCAACGACAAGAATAAATAACACTTCCTTCGTTCACAATACTCCTCAAGACGAGAGGAGGTGGCCCAGTGGCTCAAAGATATCAGAAAGGCTGAACCAGCACCGCTGGGAAACTTGGATTCGACTCTAGGGTGCAGCCGCCTGTGATCAAACCGGTTTCTCCATTGTAGCGGATTGATGGATTTTAAAACAAAATAATCCCCAATACATTGACTTTGGATCTAAAACTTAAATTTGGCTAAATGCAAGCTCCTGCAAAGCCAAAACATTGGTTTGACCGTTATGACATGCATATTACCCTCGGTGGCAGGGCAGGTGGGAAATTGCAGCAAGTTGAAGGGATCTCAGAGGTAGCCTTGTGATATCCGCTTCCTCGGGCCGCTCTCTAACACGAAGGGATGTGCTGGTCTGCAAGATTTACGAACGGAGTCCCGATACCAACAATCAGGATAATATTCGGGGAAAATACCCATTGCTTTCAATGTTATTTTCCAAGAAAGACAAAGGTGGCAGACACCTTCACCTGGTGTGCTCAGAAAGTGTTGTGGGTGTTGGTGGACCACTTAGAGATGGGAGTCTGTGTGAGCCACTCCACCAGCAAGACAGAGAATGGTGCCTGTTGTTGGAGACAGTACAGCAAGTAGGATCACGACAGGCTGCTGTAGTATGCGAGGGGTTTTTATTTTGAGGCACTCAGGTTTCCTCAAATTACAACGTAGGCCTCGGCCATGCCGTGTTAGTCGTGGGGGGTTGCATGACCATACTTCACCAAATTACAACAGAATTATCCAAATAATACAAAAAAGCCTCAAGACAAGATCAATGTATAGTATTGTACAGGGTGTCCGCAATTGCCTGTTGCCCCCTGGCTTGTCGAATCTCGTGTTTAGTTTACCTACGGCTGGTTATGTTTGTAAATCCACTTCTGCACATGTTATTCAATTAACAAAAAACCTATAACACATTCAACAACAATACCGTGGCCTTAAAAGGAACATACATGGGCTATGTTTGGGGAAAAGACCTTTCATAGCACATTCAATTGACCGTTACATCATTATCCCTCTTTAACACAGTGATGACACGGCCTACCGTGTAGGCAACGTTTCGACATTTAAAAAGCCCTAACGTTACATGTGTCTATTAATAATGTACGGCCCTTGATCGATCCACTGCTGGATGAAAACCTCCCCACTGGGGGTCGGTTGTACGAGTTGTGTGACCGTAGTTCACCACACTGGTCAACACAGGTTGGTAAAGTCGGCGGTGACCAAGGTGCTGTTCGTACGTCGCTCGCCACTGTTAGCCTTGGCCGGGAATCAAGCCCGTTATGCTGGGTTCATAGCGCGGCGCGCTAACCACTGCGCCACCGCTCCACCCCATTCTAATACTGTACCGTATTCGATCACATTACGCCATTTGTCATTTATTCTCAAACGTGTCGCCTATAAAATATGGGGGGTAGGGGGGGACAGGAAATTGTGGACATTGTACAATTTTACTCACTTAACTGAAAATGGTGTGTTCACGCGTGTTACGAATGTGTGTTCACTTGTGTTGTAAAACACACAACGAGCAGTATGTATAAGAATGGGACGCGTGTTGATGTTTGCCACATGACGGATACCTTGGTAGAATTCAACGTGAAGCAGCAATCTGGATTATTGATGATCCAAAACTCACTGATAAAGAGCGATGAGGAGACAGTCATTCGCCCCCTTATCACTCTTATAGCGCTGCCACCATGATTAGTGTCTCCCGTGAACGTCACTCATTAATTCCTCCACCCATGTTATTACTCGGTTCTACCAGACACCGTTTCGTCTCATTTCACAATGCAGGTCACAATACATCCACTCACTAATTCACCCATCCACCTACTCACTGATTCACCCACCCACCTACTCACTAATTCAGCCACCGACAAATTCACCCACCCACTCACCAAGACTGCAGGTCACCTCAATTCTCTTTCTGCTTCTTCCCTCGCACTGCTCCACTCATCATCATCGTCTCCGTTTCCAAAAGTTCTTCCAACTTCTCTCCATTCAAGAAAGTAACGTATTATTAACAACTCGTATCTATTACACTTTTAACAGTGCTGCTTGGCGTTTTGGGCCTATGCTCAGCTACCGTGATTAGGATACCAATACCAGGGTCTCTACATCATAATGTATCACCTTCCTCTTGGGAACGTGGCCAGTATTTATTGAAATGTCGAGGACTGAAAACAAATGTTAAATGTTACGTGTTTTTATACGTATTACAGATTATATATACAAACCACATATGTATAATTTTATACTGACAGCTATAATTGAGGTTCCGTTGTTTAGAATATATTGCGCAGAGGAAAACAACGTGATTTTATGCATTGAATTGTAACGGTATTTATCCAATACTTGTAACTTTACTTATTGTTAATGTTCCTGTTGTTGATGTGTGTCGTGTTGGGGCTCACGCGGGTGATGATAGCCAATCTTGTTAAGCTAAGAGTCTGTAACCAACCATGATACATCATCACATAAACTTATACTGGTGTTCAAATTGTGTGTGCAATCCTTTACCTCCCCGTCCCCCCTTGTTTACCCACGAAAGCCTCACCGATTGTCATGATTTTCGGAGATGATCCTGCCGTGTTTTCGCAGTATGGGGGTGAAGAATGCTGCTATGTAAAGTCTAACTTTAGTAATTACGGTTTTTTCCGTTTAATTCGTCAAATTTGGACCATGATGCCAGCACACAACGGCCTACGCTTGCGAATGACGTTACGAAATCTGCAACGTCCACACAGTACAGTATTTTTGCGGTTAATATACCCGCAGTATTAATCGGGGCGGCCACTGGATGAGAACCGTAAACCTATACAACAAGCAGCTAACGAGCCAACGCTGAGCCGTGACACCAATTCACAGGTCAACTTCGCATCACTAACACCAACCACACGTGGTAAAATCTCCCAATAACGTATACATTTTAACTGTTAAAATCCCAACGCCACTTCATCACAATATTTATATCGCATTTATTTTTACTCCACTGCTGGATGTAGGCCTCAATTCCGTGTCGGTCATAGGTTTGTTTGACCATACTTCACCGGCTTCATAATTTTCAGAGCGCAGTGCACTAACCAATGATCCATTCATTGCCACGATTTATCTTACCGTGATCATTCATGGTCAGTCCACTTCTGGATGAAGGGCTCTCCAGACGCGTATATTTAAAATTATTACAAACGTGGTTGGGACTTCGCCATTCGTCTCATTCACCAGACTCGCTTGATCACAAGCTTAATTAGTGGGCAAATATATTTTAAAGGCGAAGCGTAAATAAATTGAGGTTCAAATATAAACGAAATCTGACGTAAAAAAACGAAAACAGCAAATATAACAAATACCAAATCTCTACTCGCGTACTTGGGGCAGCAGCAACACGTGGGGCCTCGAATTTCCCGCGCTTTTCCACATCCGTCAAACCCCCACTTAAACTTCCCGATGCACGCCGATTGGATGGCACCCGCCTATCACGCGCCTCGTTAGCGTTTCCCATTGGTTGGCGCCGCCCGATCACGCGCTGCTCGCGTTCCGATTGGAGCTCCCCCCCCCTCAACACGGGCATAGCCCCACCCCCAAAACCCGCGCTCGCGCGTCCGTTGCGCTCCATTTAATGTTCAATGTTCCCGCTTGCAATAGACTCAAAGACAATTAACAGGTTAATTAAGTATAATGTCCCGGTAAGTTTACGTTTTCTGAGGAAAAAGGACATTCTTGAGGGGAAAATATACATCTTTAAAAATGTTTTATTATAAATATGTAAATTATATTACCCACATTGCTCGTGCGGCGCGCCACGGGAAGTAATTCCCGCCTGTTCTTTCCGGTGGCATCTCGCGCTCTCCTCACGCCACAATTCAGTGATTCTATATATTAAAAAAAGGCCGTGTTTTGCCGTGCGTGAGAATCGTGGGGTTTTATTTTTTTGTGGTTTTTACCTCACGAAAGAACGAATCCCTCAAGAAGTTGTTACGGCCTCAACTGTCGTGGAGACCACTTCGTGATCCCCCTGGTGGCATTGCTGTTGATGAGCAGTACAATTTAACCGGCAGTGGATTCATATTCTTGGTTCTTTCGGTAAAGTCACGTAGAAGGGAAATTTATCGAAAGAACCAGAATATGAATCCCTGCGGTCACGAAAGCTTTAAATCGAAATTCAGCAGTGGATTGGTCATGACCGCCCTCGTCAATTAAATCGTCGCGATTCTATCCCAACAATCGGTTATATATTGTTGTTGTTTACAAGATTGTTAGGTAAACAAACGTAAGCGACCTTCAGTGGCCGTGAATCCGTTACAAATCTGTAGTAAAAAAAACCAACGCCCGTCAAGAACACCGTTTGTGGTCTTAAACCGCTAAACATTATAATCAGAAAACAGCAATTCCTATACACTTTCATGCGTGTATCGATGATAACTGATTAAATTGCGATAGATAACACCGTGTCTCTAGTCCCCGTAGTCTGGACATCACCCTGTGTGAAAGTCGTTCCGTGGACGTTAAAAGAATCCCGTGACATAGTTGGCAAGAGTTGTGCCACTGTGTGACGGTCTCACGGTCCAAATTAGAATAAAAACAAGTTTTAACACGTAGGCTGCAAGTTTTCGCCTACATGTTAAAAAAAACTTGTAAATTGTTCCTTTCGAATATATTCTACAGTACAGGTTGGTCTAAATGTCTTGTGACCCCCCCCCCCTTATTAATTAACGGACCCCTAATATGTTTCTTCCTTTGCATATTCATTTCTGTTATAAATAAACCGAACTTTAAAAAATATAAAGTACGTAATTAAATTGGGGTGCTGGGGGTTGGGGGTTACAAGACATCTGGACCACCCTATATATCGCAATTATCGACACTCGGTGAGACTTTGCTCGGCAAAAAAAACAAGCGTAATAACCAAAACAACAATAATAATAATCGCAATAAAAACTGCCTTACCTGGGTTCGAATCCTGGCCACGGTCAACATCAGTGGCGAGTGATATCTTAACCAGACCTGCGTCTCCGCTCGGTATACTCGGCCTTAAATGAAGTACAGTACTACTACTATTGGTGGTGCGGTGTGTCACATCGCCAATGGGGAGTTGTAGTCATGTATAAGAGATACATTGAGTTATCCGACATTTATCGATTCCTAAAGCTCATTTATCTTGAGTGCAACAACCGATAATTTTTCGATCGATCGAATATTACTTGCAAAAGATTTGCTCATTTTACATTCAGGCTCAATTGTGGCGGATACTGACAACAAAAAAGCGAGCCTTTTTAAAAAAGAGTTTTAAAAAGGTCCCTTTTCTTTAACAAGATCGCGAGAATTAATGCGAAACGGCGTGAGATCGGTAAAGTTATATCTGTCCACACTGGGGAGACAAAGGCGGCCGGGCGTGGTTCTGGCCACACCACCCCTTCGTGTACCGTGTCGTATTTAATAGGCGCTCACTAACAGCGACAGAGATCAATCGGGCCTGGGAAATAACCACCCTAAATATAAACACACACGCGTACGTCGTTACTGATATATACACATACATTTACGCTATGGGCAGCAGAGGGCAGTGTGGCATCGCAATTCAAAGTTGCACTGCACCTCTATGCTCCCACATCCACGCCAGTGGGGGGAGTACGCGTGGGACCGGGTCAGTGTTTCCCTGCCTTCTTGAGCAACGGGACTGCGCTTTGCTGCAATTGTGGAAATTCTCTATTCCTCTGGCCGTGAACGGTATCAGGTCTTCGCCTACTGCCGCGAGGCGGCTCCTAGAGGTGAATGGTCCTGGCAGGCGACGGTGTGGAGACCGCAGACCTCGGGGTTAGGAGTTGAACTCTAGGCACGGGGCAACATCACTCCTCAATCCCTCCCGCCTTCACTCCTTCCCCTAATACAGTGCTGCCACTCAACCCATTACCCACATCCCCTGTCCCCACCTTGCCCTAATCTTACCCTTCCTCCTCCAACCTACCCTCTCTTTATCTCCATTCCCTCATCCACCATTCATCTCTACCTCTCTCCACCCCCTTCCCCTCCTCCTCTCACTCCCTTCATCTCCATCCACCTCCCCTTGTTGTGGAATCCCCTCCACCCCCCCCCCCCATTGCCCTCTCTCCCTCCATTTCCCCGTTCCCCCTCTTCCGGCTCTTCCCCCATCCTCCCTCTCCTCCCTCCACCTCCCTTACCTCCCCACTCCAACATCCCTCCCTCTCCTCCCTCCCCGTGTAGGATCCCCCGTCATTGGGGAGACCCCGTCTGCTCCGCCAGAGCAAGTCATCTGTAGCCGCAACACGGGGTGAGGAGTTGGTGGTGGTGGAGACGCCGAGACTCCGCACGACTCTCTCGCCTTTGCCCGTCTCACGCTAGATGTGCGTGAGACGGAGGTCGCCCGGGGGTTGTGGGATGGCAGGTGTGGAGAGTGGCAGCTGAGATAGAGACGTGCCGAGAGGGGTGGGGATTGGGGAGAGAAAGAGAGAGACGTGGTGGATACGCGGAGAGGAGCGTGAGAAACGTGAGGGGGAGAGGCGCACCGAGGAGAGAGACGTGCACAGAGGGGGGGAGGAGAGAGAGATACGTGGGACGAGACGTGGAGAGGAGATCGTGAGATCAAAGAGAGAAAGGCGTGGGGAGTGTGAGGGGGATGGAGGGATACGTTGTGTGTAGATGAAGGAAGAAAAGGAGGAGATGTGAAGGCGGATCGGGTCTGGCTGCGTGGCTGAGCGACGCCTCACACGTCCGGGAGAATCGAGGAGAGGCGAGGCGACGCGGAGCAGCGAGCGGAGATGCCTGGGTGAGTGGTGGAATAAGAAGTGGTGGAATGTGTGGAGTGGGTCATGATTGAGTGATGCAGAGAGTGGTGGAGTGGGTGATGATAAAGTGAGTGGCTCATTTAAGAATAAATGTACATTTATGCATGATCGAATTAATAAATAAGAGAGTACGATTTCATTTGAATGAATGAACGACGGGGATTTAAAGCTTTCGTGACTGCAAGGATTCATCTTCTTTGGTTCTTTCGGTAAAGTCACGTAGAATGAGAATAAAATAATAAATTGATAAAATAAAATAACACAATAAAATTCTCACTGTCTGGAGGACAGCGCTCCCTTCACCTGATGAAGGCCGCTTGTGTTGTGGCCGAAACGTCGTGAGAATTTTATTGTGTTATTTTATCAATTTATTATTTTATTCTCATTCTACGTGACTTTACCGAAAGAACCAAAGAAGATGAACGACGGGGAGATTGAATTCATGAGACTGCATGTACATTGGAGTAAATGGTACTTAAGGCAGTGAGTGAACGAGTAATGAAATGCAATTGAAAAGATTACCGAAATAAACATTGAATGAATGAAATATACATTGAACGGTAGAGTTAATGAGAGAATGAGTGAATAGCAGGATAGTGAGTGAATGAGATTGAGTGAGCGAACGAGGTTTCAAAGGGCGTGTTTGGGGTCAATGAATCGGAGTCGATGACAGATTGATATATAGCGAATCATGAGA